AGAATTGTGTAAGACAAAAATAAAACGCCTTCGACAAAGTTAAAACTTATGTTGGTCGCTAACAATTTCCTACGGATGTTGTGTATTAAATTAATATACATGTTAATTTCATTCACTTATGTGAAGAATTGTTTTGTTTTGTTTTGTTTTAAATATTAATGACATCTTGCAACTAAACGTTTAATTATCTGATTTAATATCTTAGATTTGTATAAAATAAACCTACAATACGCTAAAGAAGTATCGCTAGTAGCGCCACCACTCGGCTGTTATCATCGTAACAAAAGTACAACTTTTTATAATCAGCTGTCAAACGCGTGTGTTACAAACGAGTGTTTTTGAGAATAAATGTTAAAAAATATCGAAAAAAAAAACCGTGGCACGATTTGTTGTGTTGTTGGGTGTATTTCGAGAGGAAATCCTGGGTTGAGTTTTTACCGGTTTTCCAATAAACAGTGTTAATCTGAATGGAAATAAATTGCATACAGTCTCTGTAAATATAAATTGCACCTATCAGATACAATAAATACACATTTTAGTAGTGATTGACGTGAAAAGTGTAAACATTTCAATTCAGTAAAAATTGTCAAACAAATAAGTCGTCTAAATTTAAACAGCATTTAGCATTATGAAAAGCGTTGATTAAGAAAGTATCCACTCAACGGTGAAATACCATTATATTATGTATTAGGTATATATAATATTATGTTGCCGTGAATTCGTAGGTATATTTTGTTGTTTAAAATGCAGTTGTCAGCGTTTTTTAGAGAACTCAAATATAAAAATGGTTGATTTTAAGGTTATATTTGTGCAACAATAACTTTTTACTAATTTCTTAAAAATGTCCAAACTTAAATATAAATTATATTAGGTAAAGTTATCATTGGTTAATTCTGCACCAACAAATGTATTCACCGAATTGGATCCTTTGGCAAAACATGAAAATGCAACGATTCAGTTCTTGGATTTTATTTACAATTAAAAACGCAATAATTCACCATGATCCCTTAGATAAAATGCACACACTAACGTAACTATATAAGCATTTAAGCGTTGAGTTTCTTAATCAATGATATAAAGAATAATCAATCCAAATCGAGTACTAAACCAGTTTTTTAGTTTTTTCCTTGCAACGTAAAACACAAATAACGTGCGCGATTTAGCTGTGCAATTGAACAAAATTTGTCGAGTAAGACTTCTTTTGTGAAAAAACTACCTATTTATTTAAAAATGATGTACAGTTCGTATGCTTTAAATGTATTGTTGACAATTCTTAAATTCACCAAATATTTAAATATGGGTATAAATATTTTTTTATAAATTTGTTTCATACTTTTGTATAGTTGATAAATCCGCATTAAATAGCAACAATCGCTTAACTAATAATACCGTTATAATTTTATTTAGTTCGGCCAGTCAAACGCGATTTTAAAATGTTAATTGAAGTCTTATTCATGAAAATAATTAGCAATTATAATGATTGAGAATAATAATTTTGGTATTCGGAATATTAAAAGGAATTTTTAAAATATCTTACGCTCGCATTCCAAGCCAATTAGTAAATCATTTTTATCAATTATTTATTATAAAATAAAGTGTAAGTATTTTTGATTAATTATTTTTTTATGCAACTTTTGTTTGGCATAATAATCATAAAATGCCCTGCTAACATTTTTGAGATTAAAGAAAAAAATCATTAGTAGACAGATCCGGTGGTTTCGCTGGCCAGTTTATGTCCAACAGTTTCCGAAATATCTGTGTTTTCTAAATTTGAATGCAAGGAAAGTGACGAGTATACCAGGGTACTAATTAAATACATAATTTATTGGGAAATATAAGATTTATTGCAACTTTGAGCATATTATACATTAAATATCTTAAAATCAAATAATACCACACATCAGTGGCAGCTGGTGGATTTTGGGTATACCGATATCTCAATTATTAGATACGGGACCCACACCAAATTTATATGAGTTTATAATGACATTAAATAAACAAGTTCTGCGAAGGCAGAATTTAAATTGAAGTTTGCGAAAAAAAGATAACCTAAACTTCGAACATGGAACTGACGACACGTTACTGATGAATGGGATACAAATTTTTTATTAGTGAATGCTACTTATCAACAAATCACATATATCCTTATATAAATTACAATGAAATATATATACGTAAGAAAATAACAACTCACCACAGTACTGAAATTTTGACTGGAACTATACGTGCATTCACCACAACTTTGCCGCTTGCATTGTGTTCAAGATGACTGTCGTGCAAAGGGCGGGCTCTGTAGGTAATTTTTTACCAACACTTGAGTTAAAACGAGGACTTGACGTTTAAACTTCAATATTTCGCAGGAATTTTGAATTTTAACATTGGACACAGAACTGACGGGTAAAAGTGAGTACAAAGATTATCAATTTTTTAAAAATTGCTATTATTCGAATCTATGATAAAATATGAAAAATACATTATTTAATGTTTTATAGTTTGTAGTGAAATTGAAAAATTTAAGATAAATTGAATATATTTTAAAATAAAATCACTCAAATATTTGATTCAGGAGTTGTGACACGCCAAGGTACTGATGTTTTGAATATTTATTATGTTTTTCTACAAACGTGCTTTTAAAAAATACATTAAAATTGGATTAAACCTGGATCTTCTTTAATATACTAAAATATTTACAAAAAATATTAAAATACCTACTCTATTGACTGATGACATCAAGTTGTCCAACTTTTGTAGAATCACCCATATTTATATTTTATGATGCAGTATTATTTGGTGCAAGATATTTTGTAAATAGGTTTTATAAAATTCCTGGCGTTCAGGCATTTAACAAGGCTATCAAAAAATTCCTTGAAATTTTGCCAAACTATCTACTAAAATATTTGACGAACAATTTAACGAATACCTCGTCTCTATCACTTAACTAATTAATTTAATAAAAAATGCGAACTTCATTTTTGATTTTATTAAATAACTTTGTCAATGACTACTATTTTGTATTAGTAATTTTGTTTACAAAACACTTAATTAGTCAACGAATTGTTTATAAGAACCTGAAGAAATGATTTGTAAGTGTAAAAGTTAAGTGTTAAGTGTTAAATACACTAGGTAGCATTTAGTGCTTAACTTTATTAAACACATTTAAAGAATATAAACATAATTCATTGGTACATTCACACTATTTATTATTAAAATAAATCAAAAGGGTAGAAAAACTTAATGCAAGTGTTTGTTACCCCTTAATGTGTTAAATAGTGACAAAATGTACACTACAGTGAATGCCAATTTCTTCTGTCTGTTTTGATGTTACTAAGAGATCTTTTTTCTTTACACAACTAGTGCACATTGTATCACAATTAAAGTTAAATTACACCAATAGTGGCAAAATACACTGAAAAAACTGGTAATAACTCAAAATGCGTTTTAAAATGTTTGGTTGGTACCTATCTACCTACGCAGTGCATATCCGGAGATACCGCGTTGTGGAAGTGTGGCATTTTTGTTAAGTTAGATTTTAATTACGATAAATCCATAAGGGGACATTATTATTTTTTGGTAAGTATTATACTTTTTATTTAAGCCTTAATACTCAATATATACCAATATGTTAAAAGGATGTCCATACCCGACCTATATTATATATCAATAATTTACAGCAGTAGGTCGGGTACTTGTAATATTAATAATATAAATATATACACACTTGATTTACTTTTTATTTTCAAGCGTAATAGTTGTTATATTAACCTATACCTACATTTTTATTAATATTATGGAAAATTTGTACACGTGTGGTAAATCCCCGACATACAGCCGCCTGACGCCACTCTACCAATGGGATCACCCATTTTTTATAACAGAAAAATGGATTACTGATGAATTCTTAAGATAATTCATTGCTTACAAGTTGACAGCCAGTAAAACATTGCATTGATCTAAAACTTTTACGTTTTAAGGAACCATTTTGCTTAAGCCAGCCATACGACTCAAATATAAAATTATATTTTAAAAGGCACCGATTTTGATAATTGTCATAGATTTTTGTTTCAAATAAATGTTTCTCTTTATTTACCTTTTCGTTTTATTCACTACCACCAATAGGTTTTACTCAAATAATAGTGTTAATTTACACTAGAAGTTTTCATTAAAAAAGTAAAAGTACCTTTTTAAAATTAGAACTTTTCCAAAGTAGTGTTAATTTACACTGAACAAAAGTGGGATTTTACCCAGGAAGTGTAGAAGTACATTTGTTTAAGTATAATAATAAATTAATTTTGAATATTCATAAACATTATTTTGTTGAAGATTTCAACAGATGCTAGACGAGAAATATAAACATATGTACATATGTATATAAATATAATTAAATTTAGAATCATAAATAACTGCGCTTCGCATATGCCAAAATATTTCTTTGAGGATATTAATTTTCAATAGTCCAAAACAACAAGCACATTTACTGTAAATAATACGGTTTAAACTTAATACTGTAGTTCTATTATTAATAGAACAATTATACAGCTTGGCTGCGTCGTTTTACCCCTCTTTACTATAGAGTCATTCCAAATAAAAACACCAAATGGGGTGCGCTATGAGATTTACTAATTGGATAATAATAATTTATATCGAAAACACACTTACTGAACAGTAAAACAAAATTAAAATCATTTCAATATTTGTCACGAAAAAAAAGTTCTGGCCCACTATAAGAGAGTAAGAAATTGGCACGATTTCAGATTTATAAAGGGTGCCGATTAAAAATAAAGAATCCAAAAATTTAAACGGCAACGGATTTTCATATTTGATACCTAAAAGATCATTCTCAATTTTTTTTATCAAAATAAAAAATCAAGCAGCGCACCCCATTTGGTGTTTTTATTTGGAATGACTCTAATAGAACAATTATACAGCTTGGCTGCGTCGTTTTACCCCTCTTTACTATATATAAATTTTTGTTCCAGGCGCTATGCAGTGAAGTTTACGACATGCAGATATCGGAGGCGGCTGGGGGGGCGCCCGCCCCCGGTTCTGAACCTTGCCGGTTCCCAAAACTGGAGGAGTGCGCACACTTTCACTACGAGAGGGTGCAACTGCCTCAGATCGTGGCAGTCGCGCTCCATTCCAACATGGACCAATCGCTGCACTCTCAGCATAGTAAGTTTTTACTAATCTAATCTTGTTTACAAATAAATGGTGATTCCGCCATTTTGTTTTTTAAAAATATTATATATACACTCACAGGCAAAATAATCGATCCACACAAATTTTCGATGAATTTCAATCGCAAATAACTTTTTTATTTGATGTCGGATTTAAACGAATATTAAAGAATATTGTAGATAAATTAATGGACAATCGCTCACATTTTAAAAAAAATACACGTACGTTTATAATATACAGGTTTAAACAAAAAGATGTTTTTTACCAAAAGTTTAAGACACTCTGTAGAGTGGCAAAACCGTATATTGTTCTAAATTAAGTTTTATTTATCAAGTCACATCTATTCTTAACAGTTTTTTTTTTGGTTCACCTCGATATATTTATTTTTGTGGAAAATATGGATTTTTTTTAAAACATTGCAATTTCCAATATTTGTCTGTATGAAGAACTAAGGTTGCTATGGTCCATCCATAGGCTATGGAGAATGACAGTGACAGTTTTGTTGAATCATCCCATACTTGGACATGTCATATACAGCTTTCAAAAGCTATCAAATTGTTTTTTGTAAATTAATGTGTTAATTTTGAGGTGTCTTCTTATTTTAAAAATGTCTCCGACTGATGTTGGCCTTTGTACTATACTTTTTGTGACGTTTAAAACACTTGCCACGTAATACTGTGACCGTCCATCCTGGATTAAATTAATGGCTTTGGCAACATCAGACGGAGACATTTTTTAAAGTAAGAAGACACCTCAAAATTTAAACATTAATTTGCAAAAAACAATTTGATAGCTTTTGAAAGCCGTGTATGACATGTCCAAGTATGGGATGATTCAACAAAACTGTCACTGTCATACTCCATAGCCTATGGATGGACCATAGCAACCTTAGTTCTTCATACAGGAAAAATATTGGAAATTGCAATGTTTTTAAAAAAATCCATATTTTCCACAAAAATAAATATATTATGAAAGATGAAAACACAATAAAAGTGTACAAAATTTAATGATTTTTTTATTAAAAAAGTGAACGCCATTTCGGACAGCTATGTGGTTATATGCCGGTTTGTTGAACTTTTCCATGATTTTCAATTAATTAATTTGAAATTCCAAACTTTTTGTTCCTATTAGATATTATTCAATAATTATGGTATAAAAAATAATTAAACTTATTAAAAGTAATTTAATCAATTAGTACAAAATTGTGTAACAATTTCATACTACATATTTAATGAAACAAATTATAATTACTGTAGAAAGTAAGGAATTTTTTTTTTCGATATTTGTGCATTTAAAAGGGTATGTCTATATTTGTAAATTAAATAGTAAAAACATTTTTTCTACTCCCACCTTTAAAACGCCCTTTATCGTACTTGTTTCCATAAAACTAAGTGACCTTTTAAATACACATTGACAAGTTGTGGCTTTACGGCGCTTTAGTCACGGGCTGAAGTTAGCAACAGGTTTTTAGTCACGGGCTGAAGTTAGTTTTAAGTTAGTTGACAGTTGTCAAATGTCATACAATCGTTAAAATAAAGTGCCTTTCTTGTAAAATAATACTAAATGTGAAAATTATTTTATTATCTCAATACAAAAATGCAAAAGTATTAAATAGTTTCTCAACGCCAATATTTGATAAGTTTATATGAACATTGTACTGACCTTTTAATTTCGCCGGCAGTAAACTATAACTTAAATTCGGGCACGGACTCCACTGTAAAGTCCTCATAAAACGTTTTCTTTACTTTCACTGTGAAAAACTGTAAATTTTAAAGAATTACATTTCGATTTATAACCTTTATAATCTGTGTTTATAAAATTAAAAAAATGTGACATTTGTCGGTGACACACAGATTTCCCTATTGTTTCATAGATGGCGCTCTATACATATTTTTGATTTAAGATCTCATGTCATAAGACATCTTATGACATTCTAAACCCAAAAGTGAAAAACGTATTATTGTGATCCGATATAACCTCAATTTTTTTTCCAGCCAACGAAGAAGACGATTCGGAATGGTACATGGTGCAGGTGACATCTGGTGAGGAATGTTGGCTTCTGCAGAGGAATGTGGAAAATTTCAAAATGCTTGACGATCAACTTCATCAATGCATTTTCGACAGGAAAATTTCTCATCTTCAAGACCTGTCAGATCTCGCCGACACCACAGAAAATATAGAGGTAATGATTATAGATTTTTTTTAGGTTAGTTTTAGTTTGGTTGAGGACGTCATAAACCGAATTGTTTCACCTGTTTTTCATTCATGAATATACGTTGTAGATCCCCTAAAGATAAAACTCCTTAAGCCTTGCTGTTCATTTTTTTTAACTACCATAGCGTGTTACGTATTTTTACATTTCCTTATCGTCCATACACGAACCTAGAGGGACATTGACCCTTCTGGTTTTTTTTAAATACCAAAGAAATAATTAATTAATCTTAAGTACATGGGTCATTTTCAAGAAACACCCGCTTTCAGGAAAATGAAGATCAAAATTTTTTTTTGCTTAAATTGACTTTTGGTTGGATTTTTATAAATGTTTAGAGTTTTGTTAACTTACATTTAAGACAGGCAGTGCACTTTTTAATTTTTTTTTTACGTTTTTTTTTCAGAAAAATGTGTTTAGCTAGCTTTATATATATATATATATATATATATATATATATATATATATATCTCCACTGTGTTACCAATTTGAAATCAAAAATTTATTTCAATCAAAAAAGTTGTTATAAAAATAATTTGAAATAAAATGTACTTAGTTCACAAACTTTTGAATCCAATTTTTTATTAAAAATTGTATGCCTTTTTAAATATTTATGTTAGTTAAGTTACTTTTTAAAAGACCCACATTCCGATTCTTTGTTAAAAAAACAATACCATTAATATTTTCTTTTAGTCACTGTATTAGTGAGTTAAACTCTAATTTATGAACAGGTTTAACCAAGTGATATTAAAATCATTTTAAGGATTTTTTTAACAAAAACTAAAAAAAGTAACGAAATAGACATTGGTATCACAACGGACAGGGGTACACAAAGGACTTAACCAGATAACGTAAAAAAGAAACTATATACTATATAGTATATAGGGTGGTACGATTTTAGAGTAATGCATAAACAAAATCCCTTGTAGTGGTGCTCACTTGCAGAATAACAACTTAGATTTCTAAATTGTAGACACCCTTTTTCTTTGACTATAAGCTGGTGTCTTTTGGTACTTGTATATTGCGTGGAATTTTCCCTTGGATGTAATCTATATCATGAGTTGTAATTACAAATAATTTTAAATTGGTTAATCATAAACTACTTTTAATAAAAGCGACGGTAAATATCCACTTTGTTGTCGAAAAATCCTATTGCGTTACCCTAAATTCCATTGCGTTACCAAAAGGTAACGTAATGGACTCGGTAACGCAGTGGAAAAAGTTTTGTGAAACCATATTTAAAAAATAAAATAATAAGACATTACAGTAATTAATTACTCTCAATGAGCTTTAGTGCCCTAAAATAAAGATAAACATGAAAAATAGTATTTTTTTAGCTTATTTTTATTATTTTTTTGAGTAACTTAGCGGACAAACAATTATTACATTCGCGTTACCCGCACCTGTTTCAACCGATATCTTCTTCCTAATTGAATAAATAAATTCAGCTTGGTAATGTGTACGTCCGAACATCATTTGTTAATCACGTGAGTGCCAAAAAAGTTGCCATATATATGTTTTTTTAAATATTCTATCGGTAACGCGACGGACGTAACGCAACGGAAAAAATGTCTGGGACATAAGTCAAATTTAAAAAAAGTAGATTAAAATTAATTAATTTATATATAAATTGTTTACTGTATTAACTAAGCATGTTATGGATTGCTATAAAGCAAGCAAAATGTGTGTTTCACAAGTTTCAAAATTAAAAAAAAAATATTCTGAAATAACTAAACAAAAATTTTCTGAAAGAGTTTACTAAGGGCTTGTTAGGCTTTCACTTGGTTTTTAAATCAATAAGATCCGATAATTTTTAACAAAGCTATTGGAATTCAAACTTACGGACAGCGGAAGGCGGGTGTTTTTTTAAAACGACCCACATCCTACATTATTTTCAGCTAAGCAGATCAAAAATTTTTGGAATTTTAAAAATAAGGGGGAAATAAAAAAAAAAATAAAAATTATCTTTTGTTAGGTTCAACCTTTTTGTGAAAAATCGGGTAGTTAATTTTCCTGTCTTTGAAAAAGATAAGCAATAATCACCAAACTTTTATATAAATTCTTTTCAAAGCGAAGATTATTATCCGCTAGGAATGCTTTGTCTCTCCTGGGCCGTAGTCACCTATATTTAACTACTTTTTTTATACGATTTTACTCATCTACGCACCACCAAAGCCAAATTAATTGCATTTTACGAATTTTTACAACTCAACTTAACAACCGTAACTTTGTAAATTTCTGGTAAAACATCATTAAAGTGCTAAACTTTAATCTTCACCCTAGTACCTCCCCCATACATTGATAAGTACATCAACATATTTTAAATTTCTCCCCCTTTTAAAGCTCTTAATTTATGTAACAATGGTGAGATGCACTTCCTCTTCACATAACTTGCTTAGGTAAGGCATCGTAGAAAAAAAAATGATAAAATTCTATAGACAAGTCACGTACGTTTTTTTTAAGGATGTAGCAACACCAGACGGTTCATTGTGAATTAATTCACCCTTATTTTATGTCGGGTTGGTTGAACACACTTTGTCTAGGAACAACAGGTGTCCTTGCATACATTTTAATATACTAATTTTTATTTAAATTTTACAAAACCCAATTTTATTTGATCTTCATAAAATACACATTTAGACCACGGTCTTGCAACCCCAACGTAGACAGTTTATAGATCCAAGTGTTGCTGTTCTCGGGCAGTGTTGCCAGATTTAAAATAATGGACATTGAATCACTGCCTGATATACGAGACGAGCTATTCAACGAATTTGGCGGATGAATGCAGAAAATGGGAGTAAAAGCAGTCGAGGTATTTTCTTGAAAAATAACGCTTACAATTTTACAAAGAAGTAACGTTGTTTCGGTTTTTTTTCATTGCAGGAATTTTATTCGCTACTTCTGGGCAATGATAAAAGCAAAGAAATCTAAAGGGATTGTTTACGTTTTTGAAGTATTTATTAAACAACGAATTTTTTAATAATAGCTTGAACAGATTGTTTTGTTATTATTTCTGGTCGTTTAATGTTTTCTTTCTTTATTTTTAGTATTGTTATATTAATTTTATGTTCAATGTGTTTTTAACATTCTTAAGTAAGTTGTGACTTTTTGGCGTTTTAGTAACTTTATTATAAGTTGAGAAAAAGTGAGGTTAATTTCGTTAGACAGTTTTCAGATGTCAAATGTTTAGGGCTTTAAATTGTCCTTGGTATTCGTCGTAGATAAAGTATAGTATGCAAGTTTTCCAAATCTTCTAAATTATAATCTTTTTGTTATTTTAAAAGAACAATTTAAATCTGACAACGCAGCTTGATCAGATTTTTGTATATGTCACGGCTAATGTGCAAACTTGGATAGTTTATAAACTAGCTGGATAGTTTTAAACTAGCCAAACTGTCAGCTATTTTAATTGAAAATGTATTTTCAACTAAATTAGCGGCTAGTTTACAAAATAACCAAGGATCTTGGCTAATTTACTTGAAATTATTAGGGAAACTAAAATAGCTGGATAGTTTGTAATCCAATTCAATTTGGCTAATATGAAAACCAAAATTTCTAGTAACACAAAATAGCCAAGCTTTAGCTAGTTTGTAAACTAACCAACTAATTTTCTGGCTATTGCCCATTTTAGTTGGGTTTTTTGCTCAATGGTGCGGGGGGGGGCAATGGGGCGGGGTCGGTTGGGTTTGGGTTGGTTTGGGTTTTTTTCTCTCATTTTTGACCATTTGACCAATGGGGCGGGGTCGGTAGGTTTGTGTTGTTGAGTTTTCTAACAAGGAAGCGTTAAAATTTTGCCTATGATTCATTTTAAAAACGTTAAAATGCACAAAACAAATCCGGTTAAGCCGGCAGAACGAAAAACAATGCCGTAACCTAACTTTTTTAATAAATTAGCCAGAGAATTGGTTGGTTAGTTTACAAACTAGCTAAAACTTGGCTATTTTGTGTTACTAGAAATTTTGGTTTTCATATTAGCCAAACTGAATTGGATAGTATACAAACTATCCAGCTATTTTAGTTTCCCTAATAATTTCAAGTAAATTAGCCAAGATCCTTGGTTATTTTGTAAACTAACCGATAATTTAGTTGAAAATATGTTTTCAATTAAAATAGCTGACAGTTTGGCTAGTTTATAAACTATCCAGCTAGTTTATAAACTATCCAAGTTTGCACATTAGCCGTAACATATATTTTTTTTAATGAGCACATAAATAACTAATAATTAATAAAAAAAAATTAAAAACTTATATAAACCTACTGGTAACGGTTATTCACACAGTCAGTGGTTACTCTGGATTATATAAAATGTTTGTGGAGACAATTATATAACTAAAGGTTACAGTAACTTTATGTAACCATTATTAAACTCGTAAACTAAATGGCAATTTTATAAAACCTTGTTATACTCTTATATACTTTCCCTACCTTTATAAAATCCTTATATAACTTATCGTTCCCATAAGTAATACAAATTGTTTATTGGGCTAGTTTTCACACTCACAATTTGTGTGTTTTAAAAATGTATTAAGCAAAATTTGTTCCAGATTCTTTTAACCGAGTACCTGGAACGTTTCACCAAAATTGCCGACAACTCGGTGAATTGCGGCCCCGTCTTGAACTGGCTACAAATGGACAATAAAGGTCATCGACTCCTTGTGCCCAGCGAAGAAAGTCGCTCTATAAACACGCCGGCCGTCGCGGCGGCCTACAGCGTGCGACGCTACGTATCGCAAGTAAGAAAAAAAAAATTTTATTTTTTTTTCAAAAACTATGTATATCACCTTCGCAATCTGAAAAAGATCGGGTTGGTGACCTATAGCACGTTCAAACAACGAAAAAGATCGGGAAATCAAACTTACGTAATTATGTGTGGGTTTTAGGCAAGAGATGAATTAAATTTGGAAGTTGGCGATATGATTTCGGTGATTGATATGGCGAGTCCAGGAGAATCAATGTGGTGGAGGGGGAAGCGCGGTTTTCAAGTGGGGTTTTTCCCCCAGCACTGCGTCCACATCATAGGCGACAAAGTCCCTAGAAATATGCCTCTACCTCCTCCAGTAGTTGGGTGAGTTTATATTTCATTTTATTTTTTATGTTGGTGTTGGTGGTCCTTTGTTTTTTTAAGGGTGGTATACAGTTTTTTTTATTTTGACTTGTGTTAAAGTCAAAATGAAAAAAAAATAACTTATTTAATTTATTTTGCTTTAAATGTGGGCTTCAGGGCTGTCTAGAAAAAAATCCTTACCAGTTTGTCCTTTTTGTCCAATAAAGAATGCACCATTTTTGTCCTCATTGTTTAATTTTTTGTACATGATGTTCAGACAACTAAATACGAAAAAAAATATACCTAAACCAAAATCCAAACCACCCATGTTGGCCTTCAGTAGACTTTTTGTTTAACAAAGCTTTTCATGTTCTAATTTTTTGTCATTTTGTCCATTTTTTTTCGCATAAAATTTGTTTCGTTTTTTTCTGAACGTGATTTATCAAAATTATTGTGTTAAACGATGTGTTCCCCAATAAAACTACAGTATGATTTATCAGTTTCAAAAGTCAGTGCCTGAGCTACTTATAAAACCTTGATAAAACCCGAGAAAACCTAAACGCTCGGCAATTTTATATAGGGTTAAAGAAATATGATTTTTAAATCAAATAAAATATATTGTTTTAAAGTTAATAATATTTACTGAATACGAAATAAAATAAATGAAAAAAGTGCTAAGAAAAATTTAATTTTAGTTTTTAGGTTAAATGTTTTAAATAATGAGTTTTTTAATAAAATATCTTGTTTTAAAACATTAACATTGCAAGAAAAATGTAAACATCATTATTTCTAAATTTATTTATCACAAAATTGTATTTACAAATAATTGCAATGTAGGTTTAGGTGCCAAATAAAAACCCTAAATTGGCCACCATGTAGCCAACATTGAATAAAACAAACTAAACTTGTGAAAAATATTATGTTATGGTATCATACCATAATGGTACAAGCTGGTTTTCTAATGCTTTTGGGGTGTTTCAATCGCGGGCCATTTCATTATCAGCAGCATGCTGCAGTTTGAGTTTCTGTTATGGACTGTCCTTAAAACGTCTTGGCACATTTTCTGCACAGAGCAAAAAGAAAGATTTAATTTTGATTAACTTTCTTTTTCAAATTTTATTTTTTAGAGTTTGTGTTTTTCAAAAATCATATTATGCTTCCTGGTTTTGTCCTAATTTTTGTACACTATTTATATACAGGGTGTCTCAAAACCCAACCCAACCAAAAGATGAGTAAAACGGTTGTTCTTAGCACTTTTAGGCTGTAAGAAACACAACGTTTAAAACGAATATTAATCTGTATTAGGGCCACTAATTTTCCCTAAAAAAGAATGTCTCAAGTTAAAACTAACCTAAAAACTAAAACGCTGACAGTGACAATGTCAATCATATAATTAAGGTCATTTTACACTACGACTTTATATGGAATTTTTAATATTAAGTTGCACATTCTAGTTCTCCCACCTCTAATCGTTCTGCTAAAACACGCCTGTGATTGGCTACTTTATTTTGTTAATTACTAATTAATGGTGCGTCTGATCAAAAAACGGCAAAAACTATTCGACTTAAAAGGATTTAGCATTATTCAAAGCGTTGATTAAGAAAGTCTCCACTCAACGGTAAAATACCATTATATTATGTATTATATATAATATTATGTTGCCATGAATTCGTAGGTATATTTTGTTGTTTAAAATGCAGTTGAGTTTTTTAGAGAACTCAAACATAAAAATGGTTGATTTTAAGGTTATGTTTTTGCAAAAATTATGAATTAAGAAAACAGCATTTTCCTATTAAATAACTAAAAAGAAGCTGATAAATCATGTTGTAGGTACAAAACATGTAGTTATCATTTTACTGACTGGTTTTTATCTCTTTTTCTTCCCATCCCCTCCATTCACACGAAAAATAAAAACTTGATGACCATCATTCCAATCAATCGACCCGAAAAAAAAAATACCCCCAACATAACCTCGAAAACTTCCTAACCTCAAAAACACGAACAACAACAACCACAACGCAGGTCGCTAGCGCTGACTCCCGTAAAACCGGTACTGAGGAGGCACGGCAAGCTGATTACCTTCTTCAGGAGTTTTATTTTGAACAGGCCGTCGCGGCGCCGACTCAAGCAATCGGGGATACTCAAGGAGAGGGTCTTCGGGTGCGATTTGGGCGAGCACCTGTTGAACACTGACAGAGCCGTGCCTGCGGTGTTAGAGAGCTGCGCAGGATTCATCGAAAGGAACGGCATAGTCGACGGGATCTACAGGTGAGATTTTTTTTTTTGCGAATTTTTTTTTTTGGGTTAAAGTTAAAGTTCTTCGTATTTTTTTTATTAACATGACCGTCTATAGTGATAAAATAGAAACATAAATAGTTATAAATTGCTCGCTATGTTTTTTTTCTTGCCGGTTGTTTAACTCTTCCCTAAAATTCACAACATGGGGATACTTTTAATTTTGAGCAAATAAGAATGTGTAAAATCACATGAAAAAAAAGTATGCGACGGTCATGTTAAAAAAAATTTTTTTTAATAACTTCAAATATTCAATATAATGAAAAAAAAAATTATGCGACGGTCATGTTAATTTTTTTTTTAATAACTTCAAAATATGATTATGTTAAGAAAATGGGTGGTTCCTTAGGGTCCATAAATAAGCACCTAAAACTTTTGCTAAGTTGCTAATTTTTTTTTTTAATTCAGCTTATTATTATACAATGCAAATTGTGTAACCAGTGAAAAAACCCCTAATGCATATTTTTTATTTATCTTTGGGAAATATTTTTTTTTAAATATTCAGTAAAACCCGTTGCTTACTTCAGCCCGTGACTAAAGCTCCATAAAGCCACACCTTGTCAATTTGTGTTTAAAATCTCACTTACGATAATGAGAGTTTCAAACTGGTAGTAGAAAAAATTACTTAACAGCAAATTAAAAGCAGCGAAACTAATAAGTAAATTAATTGGAGCATGCAGGAACAGCACCAGTCCATTGCAATAAGTAAAATATAACAAAACAAAGTATCAGTACTTTCCATCAACGATGAAGCGTTGATATTAAAATTAAAGGTGTGGTGACTGCTGGAATCAAAATTGTTGTTTTTAGTTTTTATTTGATTGGTATAAGTGACAAAATCGTTTTATACAGAGTGTGACAAGAAAAAAGAAGGTGCATTTAATTTATTATTGATAATTTACTTGTTAATTATTATATAATATTGATATAAAAAATAATATCAGATTCTAAAAAAGTAAAAGAACTTTTAAGGGCAAAACTTCATTTCCATTAAGTTATGCCTCCTGGTCCGTAGTCACCTATATTTAACTACTTTTTACTCAATATTTTTTGTCGATTTTATTGCAAGAGCACGTTTTTTTAATGTAGGTTGTCTGGTGTCACATCAAACATTCAAAAACTAAGAAATGCCTTTGACGAGGACCGCATACCAAATTTGTATACAGAGGAAATATTACAGGATATACACTCTGTAGCTTCGTTGTTAAAAATGTATTTTAGGTGAGTGAGGTTAATTTTTTCGTAAAAAAAAATTGCCAAAACATTCTATTTGCTAGGGAATTACCGAACCCACTTTGTACCTATCAACTGTATCAGAGCTTTGTGAACGCCGTTCAAGGGTGTAGTACCGCCATAAGAGACTCTGAAACTGACCACGGGAGACTGCTGAAGATGAGGGAAAGCGTGCAGAAATTGCCACCCCCCGCATTACAGGTACATTAGTTTACTTAGAATGCTGGTTATTTAACCAGTTGCAGTACTTGGGAAGGGTATTGATTCTCGTGTTTAGAACTCTAGAGTACCTGATGCGCCATCTGGCGAAAGTCGCCAAGCACGGCTCGGGCACGGGAATGACGACGAGGAACATCGCCATCGTGTGGGCGCCAAATTTGCTGAGGTGCGAGGCTTTGGAGGTGGGAGGCGTGGCGGCCTTGCAAGGGGTGGGGGTGCAGGCGGTGGTTACGGAGTTTCTCATCTGCTACGCCGACCTGATTTTCTGCGACCACCTGCCCAACCTCGACCATCCCACGGCCAACTCCGAATCTAGTCTTCTGTCGAAAAAGTGCCGACCCAACAGTCTCGCTTTATCCACGCCCACTAAGCTGATAACCTTGGAGGAGGCTCGCAACAAACATCTGATTAATAGAAACGACGATTGCGCTTACATTGAGGTAGGAGGTGGACCTCAAAACCTGCCCTTGAAGTACCACACCGTGATAGAGCTTCCCTCTGGTGAGTAAAAACATTTTCTATATTCTGCCTTTACATTTTTGTTTATAACTTTTTTAATGATGGTAGTATGAGAAAATGTCGATAATGAAAGTTTTAGAGAATTTATTTCTCCATATAATGATGTTTGTATTTTGTTTGTACTAATTTTGGTTACAAAAATATTTAACTCCATATATTTTCTTTATTGTTCTATGTATTGTTTTACATTATTGGGTATAACTTTTATAATGTTGGTAGTAAGTAAATACGACCAAAAAGAGAGTTTTAGAGAATAAAATTTTCTTAAAAATGCTATTTTTCTTTCGTTCCTATTATTTTTGGTTGCGAGGATACAACTCTGTTGGGACATAATTTACAAGTGAAAATTTTACTCGCCCAAAGTTTTTTCGGCCTGCAAAAACCCTTCTTTAGTTTCGGGCTGGGTGGCTTCCCGAATTGGCAGTGATGCCGTCGATGTCGGAATTTGTACGCGATCACCATCTTTAGTCACATTTTCGTGTACGTTAACTACGGGTGGCGTACCTTTGAATGTAAACGGAAATTTAGATTTTTTTTGTTAAAAATGTCAAATGTGACATTTTTAACGAAAAAATAATGTTTACCTTTCGCAGGCGACGTTGCCGCACTTCTAGGCGGCGATTTGTACGTTATACTAATCGTGGTCAGGATGTTTTCGTAGTTAGGCGAGCTAGGCGGTCTGGGGGAAGTCGGGGACATTTCCGGCGTTGTGTTGGCACTGGATTCCCCCAGTTGCTTGTAATCCGGCGACAGAGGGGTGGGGGAGGCCAGCAAACTCTCCATACCCAAGTACTTTTTCGTCACGTCCGATTCCGTGAGCGATTTCGGTATCGTTGGGTGCTTTCGCGAGCTCGACTCCAAGTTAAGTGATTGTCGTTTGTTGTCGAGGTTCTCGGAGTTTCTGGGGGATTTATTCTCGGGTTGGTAGTTGACCAGGAATTTCTCCTCTATTACGGGGCTGTCCGGCACATCGTGCACCATCGCGGTTGTCGTGGAAACAACGTTTTCCGGAGTATTACAGTCGATGTACTGTATGTCCGACAATTGGTCCTCTAACCTCGTTCTTTTTCTCGACATCGACTCCGGGCTTAGCACGACTCGCGCTTGTTTTTTCGGAGACGGATTCGATGAGTTGGTAGCACTGTTGTACTCTTCGGGACGCGCGCGCGTCAGTATGCGCCGTTGGCACTGGAAATGGCAACAGTGTAAAAGATATGGTTCCGTCATTTGTAGAACTGTCATTCTTCGAGAAACTTTAAGCAAGAAACTTTCTCCAAGCAATGATGTTTTTATTTTGTACCTACTACTCTCTTAAAATGAATTAGTCAAAAATAACTAATTATAAGTCATATTTGACTAATTGTCATAGTGAAAAAGCAGTCACTTATAATTAGTCAAATTCCACTGAATGAAATAGTCAAATTAGTAAATTTAAATTTAAAAAAAGTTTTGACCCAGCCTGGGATTGAACTCAGGTCTGTCACTTGACAAGTTTGTCAAGCTAACGTTTTAACGCATTCGGCTGTCAGCCGCTCTTATAAAAATTAATTTTATTTGTCAATAAATATGGTTCATAATATTTTAAAGTTTAATATATTATTTGTCTTGCTATTTTGACCTAAACTTTTTGCATCTTTATTTGTTTTATGGGTCATTTAACCATGGAGAGGTACCTATATGCATTTAATTCAAATAATACTTTGTTGTTGGCCGTAAACGACTAAAGAAATTAGTTACTTTTAACTGTCAGAAATAGTCAAATATGGTGACTAATCTTAAATTAGTCAAACTTTAACTATTTACATAGTAAAAAATAACTATTTAAAAGTGAAAACGACTATTTTATTAGTAAAAAATGCTTTTACTAATTCAAATAGTAGAATTTTGACTATTTCATTTTTAGAGAGTAGGCTTGGTTGAAAATATATTTAAGTCCAAAGTTACAGTTTGCGTTCTTCTAACTTGCGCCATTTAATTGTTCGTAACTTTTTTAATGTTGGTAGTATGAAAAAATAACCAAAAAGGAAGTTTTACAGAATTAAATTTGCCATGCAATGATGTTTATATTTTGTTTTTACTAGGCTTTGTTACAAAGATATTTTACTTCAAAGTTATAGTTCGAGTTTTTCTATTTTGCATTATTTTATTGTTTACATTCTTAACTTTTTTGATGTTGGTAATATGTAAATATAACTTTATAGAGAGTTTTCACTTGGCCTGGTTACAAAGATATTTAACTCTAAAGTTGCAGTCCATATTGTGCTAGGCAATTGTTTCCATTTATATTCATAACTTTTGTAATGTTGGTAGTATGTAAATATGACGTTAAAGGAACTTTTTGAGATTTAAATTTGCTGTTCAACGAAGTTTTTATTTTGTTTCTGCTTCTCTTGGTTACAAAGATATTTTACTTCAAAGTTATAGTTGGCGTTTTTCTTATTTTGCGTCATTTTAACTTTCTTGATGTTGGTAATATGGAAATATGAATTTCGATGGAGTTTTTAGGAAGTCAATTATCTATAAGATGATTTTTGTATTTTGTTGATAGCATAGATGCTTACTCATAAAAAATTAAGTATGTGTAATATGGGATGATTTTTTTATAATTTTTTTAGGCGCGAGGAAACGGGGTCACCCAAAAAGATCGCCAATGGGTTGGAGATTATTTTTCTCCAGAAACCGAAACAACGCATCACAAAATAATATGCAGAAAAATAGGAAAGCTTCCACCCCTATTACAGCCAGTGTAACTATTACAACACATAGTTTTTACGGTTAAATTTTAATTTTTATGTTTTTTTTTCAGGATAAGTCGGGTACTGAAAGCGACTTAACAGACATGAAACGAAAGCTTCGCTCTGTAAAGAGCGCTGAAAGTTTAACCTCCGGACATTCAGAACCCGCAAGTTGTGAAGACATTCTGGGACCTTTACACAGCCTTAATAAACCTCCAGGCCACAATAGGTGAGATAAAATAAAAAAAATTCCAGCTCCGAAAAATGAGAATGTTTTTTCAAGGTCTGTATCTCATGATTCGTACTTTGACACTCTTCAGGGTTCCCAGAACAATTCTGAAGGTTCTCTGTTAGATTTAAGCGAAATTCAGGTCAACTTTGACCTGGAAGAGTCCGAAATGAGAATATTTTCCGAGGATGAGAGTCTAGTCAGCTCGCCAAGAATACAAACAGAGGTAAGTGATAATTACATTTGAACTTTAAACTGAAATATCTTTGTAAGCAAGCCGAGTAAAAATAAAAAACAAACATCATTTTATGGCAAATTTAATCCTCTAAAACTTTCTTTTTGGTCATTTTTACATACTACCAACATTAAAAAAGTTATAAAACTAAATGTAAATAAACAATTAAATAGCCTAATTAAATCAGAAAATATTAACTCCAACTTTAGAGTTAAATATCTTTGTAACCAAGATAAGTAAAAACAAAACACAAACGTCATTTTACAGATAATTGATTTCTTCAAAACTCTCTATAAAGTTATGTTTACATATTACCAACATCAAAAAAGTTATTAACAAAAATTTAAACAATAAAATGGCACAAAATAGAAAAACTTTAGAGTAAAATATCTTTGTAACCAAATCAAATAAAAACAAAATAAAAACTTCGTTGTATAGCAAATTTAATTATCTAAAACTTTATTTTTCATAATTTTTACATTCTACCAACATTATAAAAGTTATAAATATAAATGGAAACAATTGCGCAGCACGATTTGGAAAAATATGAACTGCAACTTTAGAGTTGAATATCTTTGTAACCAAGCCGAGTAAAAACAAATTACAAACATCATTTTATGGAAAATTTATTCCTCTAAAACTTCCTTTTTCCTTTTTGGTCATTTTTACATGCTACCAATATTAAAAAAGTTATAAACCTAAATGTAAACAATTAAATAGCATGATTAAAAAAAATATTAACTGCAACTTTGGAGTTAAATATCTTTGCAACCGAGGCAAGTAAAAACAAAACACAAACGTGATTTTACAGACAATTGATTTCTTCAAAACTCTCTATAAAGTTATATTTCCATATTGCCAACATCAAAAAAGTTATAAACAAAAATGTAAACAATAAAATGGTGCAAAATAAAAAAACTCGAACTACAACTTTGCAATAAAATATCTTTGTAACAAAGCCTAGCAAAAACAAAATAAAAACATCATTGCATAGCAAATTTAATTCTGTAAAACTTCCTTTTGGGTTATTTTTCCATACTACCAACATTAAAAAAGTTACGAACAATTAAATGGCGCAAGTTAGAAGAACGCAAACTGTAACTTTGGACTTAAATATCTTTTCAACCAAGCCTAGTAGGTACAAAATAAAAACACCATTGCGTAGAGAAAGTTTATGCTTAAATTTTCTCGAATAATGACAGTTCCACAATTGACGGAACCATATCTTTTACACTGTTGCCGTTTCCAGTGCCAACGGCGCATACTGACGCGCGCGCGTCCCGAAGAGTACAACAGTGCTACCAACTCATCGAATCCGTCGCCGAAAAAACAAGCGCGAGTCGTGCTAAGCCCGGAGTCGATGTCGAGAAAAAGAACGAGGTTAGAGGACCAATTGTCGGACATACAGTACATCGACTGTAATACTCCGGAAAACGTTGTTTCCACGACGACCGCGATGGTGCACGATCTACCGGACAGCCCGGTAATAGAGGAGAAATTCCTGGTTAACTACCAACCCAAGAATAAATCCCCCAGAAACTCCGAGAACCTCGAGAACAAACGACAATCACTTAACTTGGAGTCGAGCTCGCGAAAACACCCGACGATACCGAAATCGCTCACGGAATTGGACATGACGAAAAAGTACTTGGGTATGGAGAGTTTGCTGGCCTCCCCCACCCCTCTGTCGCCGGATTACAAGCAATTGGGGGAATCCAGTGCCAACACAACGCCGGAAATGTCCCCGACTTCCCCCAGACCGCCTAGCTCGCCTAACTACGAAAACATCCTGACCACGATTAGTATAACGTACAAATCGCCGCCTAGAAGTGCGGCAACGTCGCCTGTGAAAGGTAAACAATATTTTTTTAGTAAAAATGTCATATTTGACATTTTTAACAAAAAAAATCTAAATTTTCCGTTTAAATTCAAAGGTACGCCACCCGTAGTTAACGTATACGAAAATGTGACTATAGATGCTGATCGCGTACAAATTCCGACATCGACGGCATCACTGCCAATTCAGGAAGCCACCCAGCCTGAAACTGAAGAAGGGTTTTTGAAGGCTGAAAAAACTTTGGGTGAGTAAAATTTTTACTTGTAAATTATGTCTCAACAGAGTTATATCTCCGCAACCAAAAATAATAGGAACAAAATAAAAATAGCATTGTTTAGAAAATTTAATTCTCTAAAACTCTTTTTGGTCGTATTTACTTACTACCAACATTAGAAAAGTTATACGCAAAAATGTAAAACAATAAATAAAATGTAAACTGTAACTTTGGAGTTAAATATTTTTGTAACCAAAATTGGTACAAACAAAATACAAACATCATTATATGGAGAATTAAATTTTCTAAAACTTTCATTATCGTCATTTTCTCATACTACCAACATTAAAAAAGTTATAAACAAAAATGTAAATTATGAAATGACAATTTAGAAAAATGCTACCTGTGACTTTAAAATTAAATATCTTTGTAGTCGAACCTAGTAAAAACAAAACAAAAACATCATTGTATAGAAAATTTCCTTCTCTAAAACTTTCATTATGGTCATTTTTATATACTACCAACATTAACAAAGTTATAAACAAAAATGTAAATTTTGAAATGACAATTTAGAAGAATGCTACATGTGACTTTGAAATTAAATATCTTTGTAGTCAAACCTATTAAAAACAAAACAAAAACATCATTGTATACAAAATTTCTTTCTATAAAACTTTTATTATGGCAATTTTTACATAATACCAACATTAACATTAAAAAAGTTCTAAACAAAAATGTAAATTATGAAATGACAATTTAGAAAAATGCTACCTGTGACTTTGAAATTAAATATCTTTGGTGAAACCTAGTAAAAACAAAACAAAAACATCAATATATAGAGAATTTCTTTCTCTAAAACTTTCATTATGGTAATTTTTACATACTACCAATATTAAAAAAGTTATAAACAAAAATGTAAATTATGAAATGACAATTTAGGTAAATGCTACTTGTGACTTTGGAATTAAATATCTTTGTAGTCAAACCTAGTAAAAACAAAACAAAAACATCATTGTATAGAGAATTTCTTTCTCTTAAACTTTCATTATGGTAACTTTTACATACTACCAACATTAAAAAAGTTATAAACAAAAATGTAAACTATGAAATGACAATTTAGAAAAATGCTACCTGTGACTTTGAAATTAAATATCTTTGTAGTCGAACCTAGTAAAAACAAAACAAAAACATCATTGAATAGGAAATTTTTTTCTCGAAAACTTTAATTATGGTCATTTTTACATGCTAACAACATTAAAAAAGTAATAAACAAAAATGTAAATTATGAAATGACAATTTGGAAAAATGCCACCTGTGACTTTGAAATTAAATATCTTTGTAGTGAAACGTAGTAAAAACAAAACAAAAACATCATTGTATAGAGAATTTCTTTCCCTATAACTTTCATTCCGGTCATTTTAACATACTAACAACATTTAAAAAGTTATGCACCAAAATCTACACGACACAATTCGCAGGTAAAGAAGACCGCCCAAAATCTCTCGGCGCGTTAGACGACGCAACCGCAAAATCCACCTCGACCTTAAAACAAAACCTCAGCTCGACAGCTCTCTGTAATACCAACGCAAGCGAGCAAATATCCCTAGGAAGCTTAAACGATACAAAAAGCATAGAGTCCAACCAATCGCTCGACTCAAACGTTCAGTACACGCAAAGCTTGAGTTCCGCGCCCTATCAGTTCATAGAGAACTGCGAGCAGAGCGATTTCAGTTTGAGCGAAGTGACTGAAGGTTTGACAAGCAGTCAGACCAGCGTCAGTTTGCCTCCGAGTCCAAGCAAGAGCTTTAACGTTAGTTCCAACCAGTTGGATTTGCTGTTGAGCAAAAGTGAGGGGTCTATGGATAATTTGAGGCCTTCTAGCGTCAATTTGATTGATTTCTCTCCCGAGGAGTCACATGTAACGAATAACGATAAAAGAAAGTCATCTGAGACCGAAAGCAACGATGAGAATGCGATATACCAGCAAGTGAAGTATTTCAGAAGGTCCATACACGAAGTAAACGCTCTGTTAGATCTGGAACACCAAAAAACCACCCTGCAAAACCCCGAAGAAGAACTAAACTACGACTCTCTAGAACCGGAAACTTTCCACGTCTATGAGAACATCCAGGGTGAAGATCTGCGACAAGATGCAAAAGTTGGTGATACAACGAAGACTGAACTTAAGGAAGAAACCAAACCTACACCAAACCCTGAAGAAAAAACAACAGATAATCAAAAAATGACGGTCAAAGACCTAACCTACAAGTTTCAAGAGAAGGAGCCGCAATCGTTGCCGGAGGCTCCTACAGCGATTAAAATCAAAAAGTTCTACGAAAAAGATAGTTTGCCGCCTTGTTTGAGGGCTAAGAATCTCAAGAACCAGCTTAAAACGCGTTCATTGGACGAAGAAGAGTTCCAGAAGGAGTTCAATATCAACAACCACCACTCGAGGCGCAAATCTTTGGATGAAGGTAATTATGATCTTTTTTTATTTCAGCCCTATTTTCAGCCTCCTCTCCCGGGCCGTAGTCACCTATATTTCACTACTTTTTTGTATGATTTTACTCATCTACAACTTGACAACTGTTCAATGTAACTACCAACAAAAAAGTTATAAACAAAAATGTAAATTATGAAATGAGAATTTAGAAAAATGCTACCTGTGACTTTGAAATTAAATATCTTTGTAGTGAAACCTAGTAAAAACAAAACAAAACAATCATTGTATAGAGAATTTCTTTCTCCTAAACTTTCATTATGGTCATTTTTACATACTACCAACACTAAAAAAGTTATAAACAAAAATGTAAATTATGAAGTGACAATTTAGAAAAATGCTATCTCTGACTTTAAAATGAAATATCTTTGTAGTGAAACCTAGTAAAAACAAAACAAAAAATCATTGTATAGAGAATTTTTTTCTTGAAAACTTTAATTATGGTCAAAATGCTACCTGTGACTTTGAAATTAAATATCTTTGAAGTCAAACCTAGTAAAAACAAAACAAAAACATCATTGTATAGAGAATTTCTTTTTCTAAAACTTTCATTATTGTCATTTTTACATACTACCAACATTAAAAAAGTTATAAACAAAAATGTTAATTATGAAATGACAATTTAGAAAAATGCTACCTGTGAATTTGATATAAAATATATTTGTAGTGAAACCAAAAACCAAAACATCATTGTATAGAGAATTTTTTTCTCTAAAACTTTTATTATCGTCATTTTTACATACTACCAACATTAAAAAAGTTATAAACAAAAATGTAAATTATGAAATGACAATTTAGAAAAATGCTACCTGTGACTTTGAAATTAAATATCTTTGTAGTGAAACTTAGTAAAAACAAAACAAAAACATCATTGTATAGAGAATTTTTTTCTCGAAAACTTTAATTATGGTAATTTTTACATACTACCAACGTTAAAAAAGTTATAAACAAAAATGTAAATTATGAAATGACAATTTAGAAAAATGCTACCTGTGACTTTGAAATTAAATATCTTTGTAGTGAAACCTAGTAAAAACAAAACAAAACCATCATTGTATAGAGAATTTATTTCTCCTAAACTTTCATTATGGTCATTTTTACATAATACCAACATTAAAAAAGTTATAAACAAAAATGTAAATCATGAAATGACAATTTAGAAAAATGCTACCTGTGACTTTGAAATTAAATATCTTTGTGGTGAAACCTAGTAAAAACAAAACAAAAACATCATTGTATAGAGAATTTTTTTCTCGAAAACTTTAATTATGGTCATTTTTACATACTACCAACATTAAAAAAGTTATAAACAAAAATGTAAATTATGAAATGACAATTTAGAAAAATGCTACCTGTGACTTTGAAATTAAATATCTTTGTAGTGAAACGTAGTAAAAACAAAACAAGAACATTATTGCATAGACAATTTCTTTCTCTAAAACTTTTATTATGGTAATTTTTACACACTACCAACATTAAAAAAGTTATAAGCACAAATGTAAATTATAAAATGACAATTTAGAAAAATGCTACCTGTGACTTTGAAATTAAATATCTTTGTAGTGAAACGTAGTAAAAACAAAACAAAAACATCACTGTATAGAGCATTTTTTTTCCTAAAACTTAACATAACCTCAATTCAGGCACCAATTACAAAACGAATTCCCTACCGAAAATGCTGAATCAGCCGAAATCTCTCCCGGCAAACGACGCGTCCGTAGACACTATTCATCTGGCTCACAGCACGGAAAATTTGAGCCACGGTTCGATTATAAGTTTGGGCGAGGAGGACCAAAAAAAGAGGGAGAGGATCGAGAAGTACAAAGAGGAGAGGAGAAAGTTTCTGCACGACAAATACAGGTCCGAATCGTTCAAAGAAGACAAGGAGGTTCTTCTGTCCAAGTTTCGCATCTACAAAACCTCTACCTCCAAGGAGGACTCGCCCCCCAAAACCCCCCCTTCGGCCCCCGAAGGGGATAGACCGCCGCGCAGTCGCAGAAAATCCTGCAACAGCAAGGAAGACGATGTGGCAACAACGCCGATTTCTCGAAATGAAAAGGAGACGAAAACGAGCGATTCGAAGAAAAGTGTCGAGAAAATTGCTGATAAAGATAAAGGGGTGGCGACGAAAATTGTCACGGAAAGTTTGAAGTCCAGGGCGGCCATTTTCGAACAAAACCAAAGATTGTAAGTAAAACTTTAATATTCCATACCACTTTTGATCCAGACCCCTTTTGATTTTGCTGAAACTTTATTTATCTTTTTATACCCTTACAAAATCATTTTTCAGAATTTTTTTCCCAACCTAAAAAAAGTTCTTTTCAAAAAAGTAACTGTTTCAAAAATTGGCATCAGTTTTTTTCTCCAAAACTTTTGTTTTTATATGCACTTTTTAGAACAATATAGATAAAATTATTCAAACAGTTTTTTTTTAATTTTCGGATAAAACGAAAATGTTTTTTATTAGAAACTTTGACATTTTATGCAAAGTCTCTAAAATTTTCAGTGGCGTTTTTTCTTTTTCTATTTTAAAATTATGAAAAAAAAAAAAAGAAGATAGTTCTAAATAATTGTTTTGTATATATTTTTTTTTTAATTACAATTTCGATTTGAAAAAATAGAAAATTTAAAAACGCCACTTAAAATTTCAGATAATTGGCAGAAAATGTCAGTTTCTAATAAAAAAAATTACAACCCAAAAAAATAGCTTTGTTTTTCAAAAATCTTTAACTTTTTTAAAAATTGACATCGGAACGTTTTTTTCTAAGTTTTGTTTTTAAATGTACTTTTCAGAAAAATATAGAACACACTTATTTAAACCAATCTTCAACGTTTTTTTTAAATTTTCGGAAAGAAACGAAAATTTCTCGATGATTGTCGTTTTTAATTTTTTTTATTAGAAATATTTTCTGCAAATTCTCTGAAATTTTCAGTGGCGTTTTTTCTTTTTCTATTTTAAAACTAAGAAAAAAAAATAGAAGATAGTTCTAAATAATTGTTTTGGATATTTTTTTTAAATTACAATTTCGATTGGAAAAAAATAGAAAATTTAAAAACGCCACTTAAAATTTCAGAGAATTGGCAGAATATGAAAGTTTCTAATAAAAAAAAAAAAAACCCAATCAACGAGAAATTGTCGTTTTTGTTTCGAAAATTTAAAAAAAAAAAGTTGAAACCGTCTGAATAAATGTTTAAAGTACATTAAAATTTTTGAAATCCTATTTCTACTCTCTCAAAAACATTGTTTAGAATATTTTTTAAGTTTTTTCACCCAACCCAAAAAAATGGCTTTGTCTTTAAAAAATCTTTAACTTTTTAAAAATTGACATCGGAACGTTTTTTTTCTAAATTTTTGTTTTTAAATATACTTTTCAGAAAAATATGAAAAACCAATCTTCAACGTTTTTTTAAATTTTCGGAAAGAAACGAAAATTTCTCGATGATTGTCGTTTTTAATTTGTTTTTATTAGAAATTATTTCTGCCAATTCTCTGAAATTTTCAGTGGCGTTTTTTCTTTTTCTATTTTAAAAGTATGAACAAAAATAGAAGATAATTCTAAATAATTGTTTTGTATTTTTTTTTAAATTACAATTTCGATTGGAAAAAAATAGAAAATTTAAAAACGCCACTTAAAATTTCAGAGAATTGGCAGAAAATGTCAGTTTGTAATAAAAAAAATTACAATTATCGATAAATAGTCGTTTTTTTTCGAAATTTACAAAAAAAAATTTTAAATCCTATTTACACTCTCTCAAAAACATTATTTAGAATATTTTTTAAGTTTTTTTCACCCAACCCAAAAAAATGGCTTTGTCTTTCAAAAATCTTTAATTTTTTAAAAATTGACATCGGAACGTTTTTTTTCTAAATGTTTGTTTTTAAATGTACCATCAGAAAAATATGGAAAAAAAGTATTTAAACCAATCTTCAACGTTTTTTTAAATTTTCGGAAAGAAACGAACATTTCTCGATGATTGTCGTTTTTAATTTTTTTTATTAGAAACATTTTCTGCAAATTTTCTGAAATTTTTAGAGAGGCGTTTTTTCGTTTTATATTTTTTTAAATAAAAAAAAAATTCACTTGGTTTATTTCTCATAATACCACTGAGGATTTTTGGGGAAGTATAGAACCTCAGTTTGAGAAAAAAAAATATTAAATGATGGTTCTGAATAATTTTGATATATTTTTTTTGAAAATTACATTTAAAGCAAAGAAAACGAAAAATTAATTAATTTTTTTTAATTTTGAAGTTATTATGAGAAATAAACTGAGTTAAATTTATTTTTTTAATTGGAAAAAACAAAACCAACAAATTTGCAGAAAATATCAAATACCAAAAACCTTTTTGTTTTGTGTAGTACTTTTCAGAATAATTTTTAATTGGAAAAAAATTGAAAACGAAAAAACGCCACTGAAAATATCAGAGAATTTGCAGAAAATGTTTCTAATAACAAAAAAGCAACAATGACTCAAGAAATTTTCTTTTGAATGTAATTTCCTTTGAAATTTACATTCAAAAGCAAATAAAATGAAAAATTCATTAATTTCTTTCAATTAAAAAAAAAATTGAAAAAATTCTGAAAAATGTTTTTGGTACAGACCTACAGGAAATGACGTCACAAAACCCATTCGCGCGTCCCTGCGCGAAAAAACCTCCGGCTTCGAGCCTAAAACAGTCGAGAATCGCAGATCGTCGCCGTCTGCGCATGCGCAGAGTAAACCCATCGAGGCGACATCTGTTATTGTGAAGGAAGACTTCATAAGAAGGCGCAACCGCGACGACGATCTGTTGAAACAGGAGCGGAGACGTCACACGTTCGAGTCCAGGGAGAGGGAAACGGAGCTGGAGCGGCTGAAAAGGGTCAGCATGGAAAACAGGAGCCCTAGGTAAGAAAACACGACTTTTCCTCACGCGGAACATTCCATTTTTTACTTTCAGACGCGAGAAAACGTCCCCGACGTACTGCATTAAAGATATGAAGGCGATTTTCGAATCCAAATCGAAATAAAAATTATTTTAATTTTTTTTATATAGAATTGACCAAAACTTTGCGCTTTTTTGCATGCAAAACAAATCACAAACAATGAGAAAGCGACTTGTAAATAAATATTGATTATTTTTCTAGTTGTATGAATTTTCAACTTTTCTATTTTTGTTAAAAACCGCCTAATTTTTTTATAAAAACAGGTGGTGTCAATAGCCCAATTACTTTTGGTTTAGTGTGATTTTTTTTACATAAAAACTCCATAGGTCTAAAATAACTGGGCTATACTTATTTTGTTATATTTATTTTTCTTTTTACATGATGGATTGAGCTAGTTTTAAGAAAAATAGTTTTAGTTAGTACCTATAGTAATTGAATTTTTAGCATTGAATTTATTTTAAAATACATTGAATTTTATTTAACCAAATACTTACATAGTAAAAATTAGAACTTTTACTTTAATCAAAATTTAAATGAATCAAATAAAAAGTTATATGTACATCTATAGATATAATGCTTGAATTAAATTTAAACGAATTATTGTGGATAAATATAATTGTAATTTTTTTATTATTTACAAATCATAATATTGATATTATTATTAATTTAATTCTTTTTATAGACAATAATAACATCCAACAAATATCTTATATAACAAATTATTCTTTATTTGAGAAAATCTGTATATAATGTAACTATGCTTTAAATACAAAGTTATGTTAATAAATAAAATATATATTACGTGCTTTTTTATTCAACCACTACCAAATATACCAAGTGTTCAAAAAGGTAAGCAAAAAATTTAGTTTTTTAGTCATTTTTATTTGTCATCTTTTCTGTCAACTGTCAAGTCCTAGGTAAGAAAACACGACTTTTCCTCACGCGGAATATTCCATTTTTTACTTTCAGACGCGAGAAAACGTCGCCGACGTACTGCATTAAAGATATGAAGGCGATTTTCGAATCCAAATCGAAATGAAAACTATTTTAATTTTTTTTATATAGAATTGACCAAATATGGTTTAAACGTTGCGCTTTTTACATACAAAACAAATCACAAACAATGAGAAAGCGACTTGTAAATAAATATTGATTATTTTTCTAGTTGTATGAATTTTCAACTTTTCTATTTTTGTTAAAAACCGCCTAATTTTTTTATAAAAACAGGTGGTATTAATAGCCCAATTACTTTTGGTTTAGTGCGATTTTTTTACATAAAAACTCCATAGGTCTAAAATAACTGGGCTATACTTATTTTGTTATATTTATTTTTCTTTTTACATGATGGATTGAGCTAGTTTTAAGAAAAATAGTTTTAGTTAGTACCTATAGTAATTGAATTTTTAGCATTGAATTTATTTTAAAATACATTGAATTTTATTTAACCAAATACTTACATAGTAAAAAATTAGAACTTTTACTTCAATCAAAATTTAAATGAATCAAATAAAAAGTTATATGTACATCTATAGATATAATGCTTGAATTAAATTTAAACGAATTATTGTGGATAAATATAATTGTAATTTTTTTATTTACAAATCATAATATTGATATTATTATTAATTTAATTCTTTTTATAGACAATAATAACATCCAACAAATATCTTATATAACAAATTATTCTTTACTTGAGAAAATCTGTATATAATGTAACTATGCTTTAAATACAAAGTTATGTTAATAAATAAAATATATATTACGTAAATTTTTATTCAACCACTCCCAAATATACCAAGTGTTTAAAAGGTAAGCAAAAAATTTAGTTTTTTAGTCATTTTTATTTGTCATCTTTTCTGTCAACTGTCAAGTCCTAGGTAAGAAAACACGACTTTTCCTCACGCGGAATATTCCATTTTTTACTTTCAGACGCGAAAAAACGTCCCTGACGTACTGCATTAAAGATATGAAGGCGATTTTCGAATCCAAATCGAAATAAAACTTATTTTAATTTTTTTTTATATAGAATTGACCAAAACTTTGCGCTTTTTAAATACAAAACAAATCACAAACAATGAGAAAGCGACTTGTAAATAAATATTGATTATTTTTCTAGTTGTATGAATTTTCAACTTTTCTATTTTTGTTAAAAACCGCCTAATTTTTTTATAAAAACAGGTGGTGTCAATAGCCCAATTACTTTTGGTCTAGTGTGATTTTTTTTACATAAAAACTCCATAGGTCTAAAATAACTGGGCTATACTTATTTTGTTATATTTATTTTTCTTTTTACATGATGGATTGAGCTAGTTTTAAGAAAAATAGTTTTAGTTAGTACCTATAGTAATTGAATTTTTAGCATTGAATTTATTTTAAATTGCATTGAATTTTATTTAACCAAATACTTACATAGTAAAAAATTAGAACTTTTACTTCAATCAAAATTTAAATGAATCAAATAAAAAGTTATATGTACATCTATAGATATAATGCTTGAATTAAATTTAAACGAATTATTGTGGATAAATATAATTGTAATTTTTTTATTATTTACAAATCAAAATATTGATATTATTATTAATTTAATTCTTTTTATAGACAATAATAACATCCAACAAATATCTTATATAACAAATTATTCTTTATTTAAGAAAATCTGTATATAATGTAACTATGCTTTAAATACAAAGTTATGTTAATAAATAAAATATATATTACGTGCGTTTTTATTCAACCACTCCCAAATATACCAGGTGTTTAAAAAGGTAAGCAAAAATGTAGTTTTTTAGTCATTTTTATTTGTCATCTTTTCTGTCAAGTTTAAGTCCTAGGTAAGAAAACACGACTTTTCCTCACGCGGAACATTCCATTTTTTACTTTCAGGCGCGAGAAAACGTCGCCGACGTACTGCATTAAAGATATGAAGGCGATTTTCGAGTCCAAATCGAAATAAAAATTATTTTAATTTTTTTTATATAGAATTGACCAAAACTTTGCGCTTTTTACATACAAAACAAATCACAAACGATGAGAAAGCGACTTGTAAATAAATATTGATTATTTTTCTAGTTGTATGAATTTTCAACTTTTCTATTTTTGTTAAAAACCGCCTAATTTTTTTATAAAAACAGGCGGTGTCAATAGCCCAATTACTTTTGGTTTAGTGTGATTTTTTTTACATAAAAACTCCATAGGTCTAAAATAACTGGGCTATACTTATTTTGTTATATTTATTTTTCTTTTTACATGATGAATTGAGCTAATTTTAAGAAAAATAGTTTTAGTTAGTACCTATAGTAATTGAATTTTTAGCATTGAATTTATTTTAAATTGCATTGAATTTTATTTAACCAAATACTTAAATAGTAAAAATTAGAACTTTTACTTCAATCAAAATTTAAATGAATCAAATAAAAAGTTATATGTACATCTATAGATATAATGCTTGAATTAAATTTAAACGAATTATTGTGGATAAATATAATTGTAATTTTTTATTATTTACAAATCATAATATTGATATTATTATTAATTTAATTCTTTTTATAGACAATAATAACACCCAACAAATATCTTATATAACAAATTATTCTTTATTTGAGAAAATCTGTATATAATGTAACTATGCTTTAAATACAAAGTTATGTTAATAAATAAAATATATATTACGTGCGTTTTTATTCAACCACTCCCAAATATACCAGGTGTTTAAAAAGGTAAGCAAAAAATGTAGTTTTTTAGTCATTTTTATTTGTCATCTTTTCTGTCAACTTTAAGTCCTAGGTAAGAAAACAACTTTTTCCTTGCAGAAAATTCCATTTTTTACTTTCAGGCGCGAAAAAACGTCGCCGACGTACTGCATTAAAGATATGAAGGCGATTTTCGAATCCAAATCGAAATAAAAAATTATTTTAATTTTTTTTATATAGAATTGATCAAAACTTTGCGCTTTTTTACATGCAAAACAAATCACAAACGATGAGAAAGCGACTTGTAAATAAATATTGATTATTTTTCTAGTTGTATGAATTTTCAACTTTTCTATTTTTGTTAAAAACCGCCTAATTTTTTTATAAAAACAGGCGGTGTCAATAGCCCAATTACTTTTGGTTTAGTGTGATTTTTTTTACATAAAAACTCCATAGGTCTAAAATAACTGGGCTATACTTATTTTGTTATATTTATTTTTCTTTTTACATGATGAATTGAGCTAATTTTAAGAAAAATAGTTTTAGTTAGTACCTATAGTAATTGAATTTTTAGCATTGAATTTATTTTAAATTGCATTGAATTTTATTTAACCAAATACTTAAATAGTAAAAATTAGAACTTTTACTTCAATCAAAATTTAAATGAATCAAATAAAAAGTTATATGTACATCTATAGATATAATGCTTGAATTAAATTTAAACGAATTATTGTGGATAAATATAATTGTAATTTTTTTATTATTTACAAATCATAATATTGATATTATTATTAATTTAATTCTTTTTATAGACAATAATAACACCCAACAAATATCTTATATAACAAATTATTCTTTATTTGAGAAAATCTGTATATAATGTAACTATGCTTTAAATACAAAGTTATGTTAATAAATAAAATATATATTACGTGCGTTTTTATTCAACCACTCCCAAATATACCAGGTGTTTAAAAGGTATGCAAAAAATTTAGTTTTTTAGTCATTTTTATTTGTCATCTTTTCTGTCAACTGTCAAGTCCTAGGTGAGAAAACACAACTTTTTCCTTGCAGAAAATTCCATTTTTTACTTTCAGGCGCGAAAAAACGTCGCCGACGTACTGCATTAAAGATATGAAGGCGATTTTCGAGTCCAAATCGAAATAAAAATTATTTTAATTTTTTTTATATAGAATTGACCAAAACTTTGCGCTTTTTACATACGAAACAAATCACAAACAATGAGAAAGCGACTTGTAAATAAATATTGATTATTTTTCTAGTTGTATGAATTTTCAACTTTTCTATTTTTGTTAAAAACCGCCTAATTTTTTTATAAAAACAGGTGGTGTCAATAGCCCAATTACTTTTGGTTTAAACCTAATTACACTAATTAGTGTGATTTTTTTACATAAAAACTCCATAGGTCTAAAATAACTGGGCTATACTTATTTTGTTATATTTATTTTTCTTTTTACATGATGGATTGAGCTAGTTTTAAGAAAAATAGTTTTAGTTAGAACCTATAGTAATTGAATTTTTAGCATTGAATTTTATTTAACCAAATCTTCCATAGTAAAAAATTAGAACTTTTACTTCAATCAAAATTTAAATAAATCAAATAAAAAGTTATATACACATGTACATCTATAGATATAATGCTTGAATTAAATTTAAACGAATTATTGTGGATAAATATAATTGTAATTTTTTTATTATTTACAAATCATAATATTGATATTATTATTAATTTAATTCTTTTTATAGACAATAATAACATCCAACAAATATCTTATATAACAAATTATTCTTTATTTGAGAAAATCTGTATATAATGTAACTATGCTTTAAATACAAAGTTATGTTAATAAATAAAATATATATTATGTGCTTTTTTATCCAACCACTCCCAAATATACCAGGTTTTCAAAAGGTAAGCAAAAAATGTATTATTTATGTCAACTGTCAAGCCTTTTTAACCTCACTTTTTACTAATCTGGCAGACTCACGGTTTTAACCTTACTTTTTTCGGTTTTATGCACTAGTGCATAAGTTAACCTGATATTAAATGTAAAAGTAAATATTTATTTACTTACAGATCCAACCTCACTTTTTCCCAATTTAAAACCTGATTGGTTAAACGGGAATATATAACCATTATAATGGTTACCATTATATACGGAAAACCCAAATAATGTCAATATTATGCAATAGGACGGAAAACCATCAATTCACACACGAGTTTAATTATGAACGGGCGAAGCTTGCGAGCGAGTGTTTAATAAAAACGAGTGTCTAGAGAAGTTTATAAACGAGTTGCATACTATACTTTATCTACGACGAACACAAAACAGAATTTAAAGCCAATTTTATTTGTTAAAATTTTGACATCTGCCGAATTTCGGAGAAGTTCATAGAACGAATTGCATACCGAATTTTTATTTGTCATTTTATCTGGAAACTGTCAAACAGTTTTAACCTTACTTTTTACCAATCTGACATCTGTCAATCGGTTTTAACCTCAATTTTTACCAACTTTGTGCATACATTTAATTCATACACCAAAATATTAATTATAGAAGTAATTAGTCTAAATGATGATTATTTTATTGAATTTTACAACTTTATCATCGCCCCTCGTAAATACAATCGTTTTTATACATTTCTTTACTTCTAGTTTTTTTAATAAATCAAATGTCAATGATTTAGGGGATTTTTACCAGCACCACTTAAGTTGGCAATAATAAGTAAAAAATGTCGTTTCTTTTATTTTGTAGCATTAAATTTACAGGTTTTTCTATGTATTTTTAATATTAACCTAAATTTCTAACATACTTCTATATAACAAAAATTTTGTTTTCTTAATTAAAAATACGCTTGACATTGTTAAGAGGACAAATCAGAGAAGAAAATACAAATACAAATACAGCGAAAACGTTAGATTTAAAACCGTTAAAATATAACCAACAAAACAACGTCAAAAAGCGATCGATGTTGGCAACGCGCGCAGTTCTGCCAACGGGAATTTTGACAGCGAGGCGCGCGCATTCTTCAGTCTGTCAAAAGTCCACCCAAAATGGCGACGGCGACGAATAAAGAGTCGGAAGAAAAGCGAGAAAAAAACGGGGAAAACTTCATCTGTCGGCTATGTTTAAAGCACAAAGAGCAACGGCGAGTTCCCGTAAACGAAAGTTTAAGATGCATTATCAAATCGTGTCTTCCGGGAATCGTAAGTGACGAGCAGTTATTTTTTGTTTTTGGGGATTCGGTTGGCTAAAACAAACTAAACCAGCTGGTGTTTTGGTTGAAAAGTTACTGATGTTTTTTGACAACATCGGAAATCATTTCTAAAGCTGCGCCCACACTCTGGCGAATCGAAATTGAATTGTTATCGAAACAAAACGATATCGTGTGGACGCACCTTAATGTATTTATTTCATAGAACAACAAAGCACCATATTTTACAGTATTTTGTATTTATTTTAATTCTACCAACATAAAATTATTAAACAGTTTTTAACATACAGTGTCGAAAAAAAAATCAAACAGCTCAAAATATGAAGAAAGTTTTTAGAAACAAGGGGTCAAAATGTTTTGTTAATTTCTTTCCAGCTTTTGGACATTACAGAAGAACCTCCAGCAATTTGTATGACATGCAACAGCCATCTGCAGCTTTTTATTAAATTTCAAAAGTATTGCTGGGAAAAACAAAAGAGGTTACTGATGTTTTGGTCGACACAAAATGATGATTCGCTTAAAGTCAATGTGAATAAATTTAGAGGAAGGGCAACAATGTCAACAAGTGAATTCGAGGAGGGTAGGAAAAAGCTGTATTTTCTGCAAAATGGTAAGTACAAAATTGAAGTTTTCTTATTCAAAATAACCCAGACATGACTGTTTTTATTATATGGATAATCATATGCCAATTTTGTTATTACAATACAATACAATATAAATACTAGCATAGAAAATAGGTAAAAACACTTCTATAAAAATCTAGGTTACGAACAAGTAAACAAATGTCAAAAGTTGATTATAAATAATCAAATTAACTTTGACTAGGTAAAAGTGAGGTTAAAACATCTCAACAGTCAATTGTCACCATAGTTACTATGATTATTTATTGTTAAGTTTGTAAATTGACATTTTTATTAAAATGTTTCAATAAACAGTGTTAATCCAAATGAAGAAATAAATTGCATACAGTCTCTGTAAATATAAATTGTACCTATTACATACAATAAATACACATTTTAGTAGTGATTAACGTGAACAGTGTAAACATTTCAATTCAGTAAAAATCGTCAAACAAATAAGTCGTCTAAATTTAAACAGCATTCAGCATTATTAAAAGTGTTGATTAAGAAAGTCTCCACTCAACGGTAAACTACCATTATATTATGTATTATAATATATATTATATAATATTATGTTGCCATGAATTCGTAGGTGTATTTTGTTGTTTAAAATTTTTAACGCTTTATCAGTTAAATCTAAACTGCATTACTACAGCAAAATCAAAAAACTAATCAATTTGTATTTTTGTATTGAAATAACAAAATAATTTTCACATTTTTTTTTAATTTATTTATTAAACCCAAAAAGAATACATGATTCCATAGCAGGTACAAGTTAGGTATTTAGGAAAATTTTACAAGAAAGGCACTTTGACATATGATATTTATAAAAAAAACGTTATATCTGGTTAAATTTTGGTGATACATATACAGGGTGTGACATTTCCAACAAATTATAAGCAATATTTATAGAGATGTAAAAAAAACGATTTTTTTTTGTTTTTTTTTCAAATCCGCTACAATAAAGCATATTCTGTCAATAAATAACATCAATCTTAAAAAATGGAGTAATTTTTCAAGATGAAATTTTGAGTAAAAGGTATATTTTAATGTATTAAAATAATAATGTGGAATGTAGAATATATTACATTTACATTTTTAAAAATTTTCTGATTTCTAATTATTTGGTAATTTACAAATAAGAAACCAATAGCAATGTAAAACTTCTACACTAATAGAAAAAATTAAAGGATAAAAAAAATTCCAAATTTTTTGCGATTTTTTGGATAGCTGTATCTTTGTTAAAAATGGTCGTATTGGAGCCGCAAAAAAAGCAATTTGAAGCTTGAAGTTTATAGTTTTGATATTTTTAGATGAAAAACTTGCAACGCTCAATCCTAACGAATTCCGCAATAAAAAAATTCGAATTTATTTTGGCTTTCTTTTTTGGTCCACGGAATGTTTATGGCACGCCGTTCTAGCATTTATTAGATAAAAGTTTAAAGATTACAGTTTACCACTTAAATTATGTTTTTTAAACTCAAAACAATTGATAGTCAACAAAATATTTTAAATATAAATGCAACAGTAACAATTTATGTTTAAAAATATTGATTTTTAAAAGTTTTGTTTATAATATTTTATTCTACAAAATTATTGGTTTAAATTTTAAAAGTCATTTAAATGACAGTTGATAAATTTTTAATACAAAAATTCTCACATTACATTTAAATGTAAGTTTTTAATTTTAAAGTAGTAATTTTTGGATTAAAAATTTATCGACAATCATTTAAATGACCCTTTACAAATTTAAACCAATAACTTTTATACTATTTCAAAGTGATATATTTTGAGACAAAATTTATAACTTTAAATTTAAATGTAAGTCGATAATTTTTAAATATTTGACGCGTTTTAGAAATTATCGTATTGAAATGTTTCTTTATTAAATAAATTTAATTACAGAAAAACAACATTTTTAGTGCCTATTGTACTAAGATAATTTGACAATTAAAAACATTTTTTTTTTAATTTTTAAGAAGAAATTTTATAAAATGTAGTGCCACAATATTACGTGGATGCAACGCTATACCTATAACTTATAGGTTATAGGTATATGGATGCAACATACAAATTTCCGCTTTCCGGCTTTTGTGGTGAGGTTAAGTGTTAAGCCTGATTTATAGATTGCCTTCCTTCCTTCCTCCCGTAAAAGATGAACAATACAATCCCGTACGGGAATCTATAAACGGCACTGGGAATTTGTATGATGCATCCACGTAATATTGTGGCACCACATTTTAATTTTTTTTCTCTTAAAAATTAGAAAAAATTAATTGTCGAATTAACTTAGTACAATAGGCACTAAAAATATTGTTGTTCTATTATTAAATTTATGTAATAAAGAAACATTTCATTACCATAATTTGTAAAACGCGTCAAATATTTATGGAGCAAGCACGATTTGGCAACACTGCGGATCAAACTGGCTGCATCGTGGTTCCGATCCCAGACTCTTGTGCCTTCTACTAAAGCTACGTTTACACTTTGTAATTTAAAAATTATCGACTTACATTTAAATGTAAAGTTATAAATTTTGTCTTAAAAATGTATCCATTTAAAATTGTTAAAAATAAAAGTTATTGTTTTAAATTTGTAAAGTCATTTAAATGATAGTCGATAAAATTTTAATGCAAAAATTACCACATTAAAATTATACTTTTTATTAAAAAATGATGGTTAGAAATTTTTGCAAAAATTGATAGAAAATAATATTGTTTAAAAAATTATTTAATAAATGTTAAAACGGCGTGCCATATGTTCTGACTTAACCACAAATGAATAAAAATGTTTTACAAGAATTTGCTATTATTTAAAAAAAAAAAAATTTTAATTTCATTTAGTGGCTAATTTTAGTCCATGAACTGGACTGGAAACATAAAAAATTAGGCAAATGGGACTAATCTTGAAAAACATTAAAATATGAAAAAAACCATTTGAAAAAAAAACAATGAAAAAAACAAAAAATGCAATGATAAAAACAATATTTAGCATACACCCTGTATATTTCGCTAAAAACTAAACTAAAACTTTTTTTAAGTGTTTTTTTTTTCGTAAATTTAAAGGTGCGTATGTGCCTTTTGGGTCGGTGGTAAAACAAAAATTTCCGGATATAGTGAAGGCGTCAACCTGCGTGCCCACGTTGGTGCACAACCCAAATGGTGACGGCAAGTTGATACCGAGTGTTTACTGCGACAACTTGCCGGAATTTTTGGTGGCTATAGCGCCGATGAAAGGGAATGCTCTCGGGGAAAAACCTGCGGACGAAACCAGCCAACTCAAAAAGAGACAGGAACTGTTCGGGAAACAAGTGCAGGAGATCGTGGGTAAAATAAACAATATCTCCAAAGTTATGACTGGCGAGAAAGAACAGGTGGTGATGAAGAAAAAACCTGGACCCAAAAGGAGAGAGGAGGGATCATCTCATGATGAGTTGGAGGTTGAGAAACAAGTCGAGAACATGGTTGGAATGATAAGGAATTCCACGAAAAATATTACCCATGAGAAAGAACTAGTAGCAAGGAGACAACTTGGTGGGAAAAATTCGAAAAAAAAAATTAATATGGAAACCACAGCAACCGATGTAAATGAAAAACGAGCAAACGAAAATATAACAATCGTCGATATATTACAGGATTCTTTGGAAAAAAACATCGAAAAATTTAGCGTGGAATCAAATGGTACACAAAACAAAAATTTGCATTTGATGAAAGTCTTATCCAAAACAATTGCAGAAACTACTTCAAACCCTATAGAAATCTATGACGGTAAATTTTATTATTACATTTAAAAAAATCATTTTAATCACTTTGAAATATCTGAGTTGGTGGGCATTTTAGGAAAAAATGTTTAAAATACCTAGATTTTGTCCTCCCTCAAATCATTTAATTTTTATTTTAAACATGTTTTCGTTAAATTCATACTAACTGAGATATTTCAAAGTTTCAAGTTAAATGACTATATGGGTCATTCCACCAAAGTGCGATTTTTCGAATTTTGACTTTTTCGTTAATTTTTTTGGGTGTTAAAAATGTTCTGTCAAAATTTCAATCAATCTGAAAAATGCAATTTTTCAAGATTTTTTATAAATCTTAAAAATATTGAGAAAAAAACGTGGAATGATTTGTTGTGTTGGTTCCCAATAACCAGTGGAAATCCTAATGATAACGGTAAAATACCAAAAACGAGTATTATATTATGTATTATACGTAACATTATGTTGCCAGCGTTTTTATAGATCTTAAATATAAAAATGTTTGATTTTAAGGTTATGTTTGTACAACTATTATTTTTTGTTGGATTTCTTAAAAATGCCCAAATTAAATATAAATTATATAAGGTAAGGTAAAAAATAACGAAAAAGTTCAAATCTTCAGTCATTATTTTTAAAAAAAAATTACTTGGTGGTATGACTTTATTTTGAGCTGGCTGGATGACAGTCTAAAAGGTGGAATGCTAAATTTCCTAGAGCTTAAAATTGGTTTTATCTACTCCCATTGCATAATATTCTGTCTACTATTATTAAAAAATATGCAAAATAATCGATCTACACAAATTTTCGATGAATTTCAATCGCAAATAACTTTTTTATTTGATGTCGGATTTAAACGAATATTAAAGAATATTGTAGATAAATTAATGGGCAATCGCTCACATTTTAAAAAATTACTAAAAAATAGATGTACGTTTATAATATACAGGTTTAAACAAAAAGATGTTTTTTACCATAAGTTTAAGACACTCTGAAGAGTGGCAAAACCGTATATTGTTCTAAATTAAGTTTTATTTATCAAGTCACATCTATTCTTAACAGTTTTGTTTTTGGTTCACCTCGATATATTTATTTTTGAGGAAAATATGGATTTTTAGAAAAAACATTGCAATTTCCAATATTTTTCTGTATGAAGAACTAAGGTTGCTAAGGTCCATCCATAGGCTATGGAGAATGACAGTGACAGTTTTGTTGAATCATCTCATACTTGGACATGTCATACACGGCTTTCAAAAGCTATCAAATTGTTTTTTGCAAATTAATGTTTAAATTTTGAGGTGTCTTCTTACTTTATAAAATGGATATGTCTCCGACTGATGTTGCCAGAGCTATTAATTTAATCCAGGATGGACGGTCGCAGTATTACGTGGCAAGTGTTTTAAACGTCACAAGAAGTAAAGTACAAAGGGCAACATCAGTCGGAGACATTTTTAAAAGTAAGAAGACACCTCAAAATTAACACATTAATTTACAAAAAACAATTTGATAGCTTTTGAAAGCTGCATATGACATGTCCAAGTATGGGATGATTCAACAAAACTGTCACTGTCATCCTCCATAGCCTATAGATGGACCATAGCAACCTTAGTTCTTCATACAGGAAATATATTGGAAATTGCAATGTTTTTTTTAAAAAATCCATATTTTCCACAAAAATAAATATATCAAGGTGAACCAAAAACAAAACTGTTAAAAATAGACGTGTCTTGATAATTAAAACTTAATTTAGAACAATATACGGTTTTGCCACTCTACAGAGTGTCTGAAACTTAAGTTAAAAAACATATTTTTGTTTAAACCTGTATATTATAAACGTACGTGTATTTTTTAGTAATTTTTAAAATGTTAGTTATTCTCCATTAAGGTATCTACAATATTCTTTAAGATTTGTTTAAATCCGAAATCAAATAAAAAAGTTATTTGCGATTGAAATTCTTTGGCCTGTGAGTGTATATGCTAATTTAACAAAATACAGCCAGTTCAAAAAAACTATATAGCTTTTTTCTAACACTCTTTTTTCAATACCATAAAAAAATATTTTAGGAGATTTAATATCTTCTGAAGACGAAACGTGTGATAATCAAATATATACAGAAAACCCGGATTATATTTTGAAAACTGTACCAAAATTGAAGGAAAAGTCCAAAGTTTCGGTAGCTTTAACGAAAAATAATGAGGAGGAAATATCAACGGTAGAAGCAACGGAATCTACTGACCAGCCTGAAACGTTAAGTGAGGATGCAAATGCGAATGATACGGTAAGAACCAACCCTGATAGCAAAATTTGATTTTAAGAATCTTCTAAGAAGATATGACCCGGAATATTCTTAGAACCTTCCCTTATTGCTAAGAATGTTCTTAGGGACTTTTAAAACATTCAATAGATACCCTTTTAATGATGCAATTAGATTCTTAAAAGCTTCTTAAAACCTTCCTAAAAAGCATCCTAAGAACATTTTAAGAATACGTTTTTGGAATGTTCTTAGAAGGTTTCTTGTGGAGCTTCTAGGAAGCTTTTGAGAATATTTCCAAATATGTAAGATACCCACGTTCTAATATGTTGTATTCTACATTCGTAAAATTCTTCAGGAGGCGACAAATACGCCTCACTGTCATAATATGACAGTGAAATGTATTTGTCGTCCCCTTAAAAAATTTTGCGACATATTAATATATATTTATTTAAAAATATTAAATAAACATTTTGACCTGTAAACCATAAGTTTTATGACATTATTTCATAAAAAGTAAAATTGGAAGATTTTGTGGGATAAGTCAGATTAGATTGAAGTTGAAGATAATTAGGATTATTATACATAAAAATGTTAATTCAAAAATAAAAAATCGTTATACAAATTAATAAATATTTATTTTTAACATAAAATAAAATACCTATATTATTATAGAACATACCTTGTTGTGTGGATTGTGCATTTTATTAAATAACTTGAAATAAACAATAAATAAACAAATGTACCTAAACTTTTAGATGGACATGGCATGCACTGAAAGTTTTGATGATATGGGTGACAGTTCTGAAGATGATGCGGAAATTCCAGATTTAGATCTGGATTTGAATACGTTGGAAACAAGAAGCGTAGATGATTTGATAAATAGTATTCCGGAAATAACTGATTCCACAGATATGCCAGATTACATACTGGTGAACAAATTTGGGTAAGAATTTTATAAAATTTGTTTATTTCTTGATTACACGAAAATCACACACTTTTTTATGGATTGGATTTATGGTTTTTGAAATATGAATTTTCAATTGTTTTTTTTTCAATTTTCGGAGGTGTTATGACGTTTTCGAGTATAACTTGAAATCTAATTGATAGATTTGGTCAAACAAGCCCTTAAATTGAAGGTATTTCAGCACTCTAAAACTTTATTTTACATACTTTTGATATCGGATAAGTATTTTGACGCCAGCGATTTTAATAAACTTAAAAAATTCGTTTTTATGGCAAAAATTTACATATCGTCCTGGGACACGTTTAAATCAAACATATACTCCAGTTTGAATTTTTTTTCGTGAAGCTGACATTTTTACAAAATAAACAAGCTAAAGTTGATAAAAATACATGAAAAAATGGCGAAGTTATGAATTTTTGAGTGGAAGACCAAAATTCAGCTTTTGGTCGATTTTTATTTTATTTTGTAATATGTTTATTCTTTAATGAAAAGCTAAGTAAAGTGCATGGTTGGAATTTTTTGAGTTTTTTACGTTCTTTTTTCACCGAAAACATTATTCAAAATTTAAATTTGACATGACTCCGCAAACGTAAATTCTTTTGTTTCTCGTGTTGATTTAGTGACATTTTACCGCTATTTTTTGATATTTCAACAAGGTATTTTATCATGGTTTATTTAGTTAATAAAAAGTGTAAAATGAGTAAAAAAGTAGAGAATTCGAGTGCGTAAATAACCCGCACAATCTGGGCGACGTAAGTGATGAGCGCGGAGAACGTTTTCACCAGCAAATGAAGGCTATTGGGCGGCGGTATCACGGCTTCTGGGATGCAGCCATGATGGGTGATTACATTTGGTCCCTCATACGACAATCGGAATACGAAAGCCACAAAAAATAAAGAAGGAGACAGATTTTTTTAAACCTATGCTTATTACAACAAAATAAAACTTCAACGTTTCTATATTTATTGTTCAATCACCTATATATAATTTAATTTTAATATTTAATGTTTAAAATAAATATGAAATTTTATATAACTCAATAAAATGAAGAAAAAACGTAAAAATTCTCGAAAAACTGAATTTTGCTCTTCCACTGAAAAATTCATAACTTCGCCATTTATCCATGGATTTTTATCAACAGCAGCTTATTTTTTTCCTTTAAGTATAATCTATACGTAAAATAAATCAAACTGGACTTATCTTTTCGATTTCTATCTTTCCCAGAAAGACATGTAAATTTTCGACCTCGATTTTTGTAAAAAAAAGGACTTTTTCAACTTTTTTTTTTTCGCCGGTATCGAACTACTGAGCCGATACCAAAACTATACAAAAGAAAGTTGTAGAGGGCTCAATTACCTTTGATTTAAGTGCTTGTTTGGTCAAATCGATCGATTAGAGCTCGAAGTATACTCTAAAACGTCAAAACACCTAAAAAAATGTTGTTTTAGCTATGACGATCTGAACACGATTAAAAAGCAAATGGTGACGACCGAGCAAAACCAAATCCAGAAAAAAATAAACGAGATACAAAAAATTGACGAAAGAGATCAGATGATTGAAAAACAAATCGATGAGATCATACAAAAGAACGAAACCATGACGAAAATTGATTACAAAGATAGAAAGATCGAATCGATTGAAAAGCAAATCGATGAGATCATACAAAAGAACGAAACCATGACGAAAATTGATTACAAGGACATGAAAATCAACTCGAAAAACACGCAAAATTACATCATGTTCGACGATAAAACTCCTGAAGAAACCGAAGTCGAAACACCTGCCAGAAAGATAAGGTAAGTCACGATTTTACATTTTATTTATCCCGATAGAATCCAATAAAAATAAGTAATTGGTTTGAATTGGTTTGAAATGTGTTTTGGCGCTACGAATCACCATTTCATTCCAGTTGCTTTCCCATTGGTAAGTTCCAATGAAGTCAGCAGCTTAAATTGGAATATACCAATCCATGCCTATGCTTGTCTCTATTGGCTAAATCCAATAGAAATGCACCTGGAATGAATTTTTAATTCATAGCACCAAACTCCTTCAGTGAGTATGACTATAGTATGAGTATAAGAGACGTATAACCAGCCAGGAGGGATAGACGTTTGTTGGTTTTTGGGGGACAATTACGCCGACTTAAAACTAAGTACGACGCGGAATCCCCCTAGACCAGTCGATAAGTATTACTCCAAACATTTGGGATTACTGTTTGGAGTTGGGGAGTTGTTATTTCGCTGCAGGGGTGTAGTTTCCTAGTCGAGGTCTTCGTCTTGTTCGTTATTGTCATTGTCCGTGTCCTGGTCAGATAGTTCCTGCACTTGGTAAAGTGTGTCAGTTGTTTTTTTTATTTTATTTTTATTGTTGCTTAGTTGCTCCCAACTGGTCTTGTTAATTTGTGAGAAGTGCATGTTTTGTGCTAACGTGTCATGAAATGTGAAGCATGATCTCCCGACTTTTTTGTCTGTAAGGTCTAGTTTTTGTCCCAAGCACGTTTTGTGGTAGAGTTTTGTCTTTTTTTCTTAAATTCCAAAATTAAGTATTGCATTTATTTATTAGTTAAACAAATGACAAGCGCAATTATTCTGTTATCTAATGTTTACAAATCCAGTAGAGTTTAGTTATTATGCTTTTATTACTATGTTAGGGTTATAATGATTAATGTGTTAGTTTATTCAGTGTGCCTTTGTTAGGGTTTTAAAGATATCTGTCGTGTTTAATTTGCAGATTATGTGTTAGGTCATGCATATGCTTAAGGATACTTATCAATTTTTTTGCGGATGGCCACTTCCCCTCTTGTTTGACCTCCTTTGCACTTTTTAAAAATTATTGTTGGTTTTAATCTTTAAACTTTTACGTTTTAAGAGCTCTCGCTCTCGCGTGGTGCCTTCTCAAGTGCTGGAACCTGACTGAATTCGTAGCACCAAACTCATTCAAACCAATTTATTTTTTAAAATTTAAATTAAAAATACCAGTTGATTTTTCATTCAAAAATAATTAAGATCCCAGAAGAATAACCGCGTAAAAACCAGAATTAATTTTTCACGGAAGAGACAAAAAAATTATTATAACTGAGTAACTTTATTTCTTTATTATTTTTTTGTGTTAGTGAGATGTGTATTGAAACACATAACTGACTAACACAAAAAAAGTAATAATAAATAAATAAAATTACTCGGTTATAATCATTTTTTTGTCTTTCTTGCAAAGGATGTGTGCAGGCATGGTCGAAATCAATATTATTTATGTCAAATTTTTTTATTTTGTCCGCTGTAACCACCGTCAGATATACCTTTAAAACTAAGTTTGGACAATTTTTAATAACACAGCGCCTGACATTCTGGAAACAGCCGATTTTATACGTGACGTCACACTTTTGAAAACACAAAGCCATTTTAATAGTACGTAAAACGGTACTTTATTGGCGCACCTTAAAATTCCAATTTTTGAAAAACATTATAAAACTGTGTAATTAATGTAATATTTTAAAATACTGAACACCTTTTGACATAAGGAGTAACGAAAAAATATTTAAAAAAATATTTTTCCAAAGATAAAGAAAAAATATGAATTGGAAGTTTTTATATTTTCTGTAATACCAACCAACAGTTGCCAGTTGTAAAAAATTGTAACTAAAAATTCAAAAATTCAAACACTTATGTTACAAACGAGTGTTTTTGAGAATAAAGCCGGAAATGTTAAAAAATATTGGGAAAAAATCGTGGCTCGATTTGTTTTGTTGTTGGGTGTATTTCGAGAAGAAATCCTGGGTTAAACAGTGTTAATCTGAATGAAGAAATAAATTGCATACAGTCTCTGTAAAATTAAATTGTACCTATTAGATACAATAAATACACATTTTAGTGAAAAGGGTAAACATTTCAATCCAGTAAAAACCGTCAAACAAATAAGTCGTCTAAATTTAAACAGCATTTAGCGTTATTAAGAAAGTCTCCACTCAACGGTAAAAAACCATTATATTATGTATTATATATAATATTATGTTGCCATGAATTCGTAGGTATATTTTGTTGTTTAAAATGCAGTTGTCGGCGTTTTTTAGAAAACTCCAATATAAAAATGGTTGATTTTAAGGTTATGTTTGTGCAAAAATTATTTTTTTATTAATTTCTTAAATGTCCAAACTTAAATATAAATTCTATTAGGTAAAGTTATCATTAGTTAATTCTGCACCGACAAATGTACTTACCGAATTGGATCCTTTGGCAAAACATCAAAATGCAACAATTTAGTTCTTGAATTTTATTTACAATTAAAAACACAATAATTCACCATGATCCCTCAGATAAAATACACACACTAACGTAACTATATAACCATTTAAGCGTTGAGTTTCTTAATCAATGATATAAGGAATAAACAATCGAAATCGAGTACTAAAATAGTTTTTTAATTTTTTCCTTGCAACGTAAAACACAAATAAGACCGTGATTTCAACAATTATATCACTTTTAGAATCTCACAATCGAAAATAATTGGAGACATTGTGATAGAACATGCAAATAACCCAATGGTGCTTGGTAGTGATCACACCTCACAAATTATCCAGAGAACAAAACCAATTATTCAAGTGAGGTAAGCTGATATGAGATTAGTAAATCCGTGTTGATAATTATAATAATAGTCAGGGACGTAATAATATAATATTAATTATATCAGAGGTATTTGACTGCTCATTAAATATCTGGAAGTTGCTACGTCCCTGAAAATACACAGCAAACTGAAAAATATAGAAGTGTAGGATGACGCCACGTTTGAATACGGTATAGATTTGTATTCATCAGTCGAGCGTTTCAATACTCTCCACAGTACGAGGTGTGTTCAGAAAATAACAGGAATTGTTAAATTTCGCGGATTCGGAGGGTCCGGTTGTCATAAAATTTTCTTTATTATGTTGGTATACATGCCCCCGAAGTATGATACAAACTTTAGCTATTTACATTGTTTACTTTGTCTGTGGCAGCCGCTAAGGTTAGACGTGTTTTATGAGCTCGGCGATTTTTAGTTCGTTAAAAGAAATGGATCAAAGAATTTGTATCCAATTTTGCTTAAAAAATGAAATAAATTCTGCGAAATGCTAACAAAGGCCTATAGCGAGTCTGCTATAAGTAAAACAAGAGTTTACAAGTGGTATAAGAGTTTCCAAGATGGCCGTGAAGACGTTGAAGATGACGAACGCCCCGAACGCACAAGCACATTAACAACCGATAAAAACATGGAAAAAGTGGAAGAAATGGTTATAAACCATCAGAGAAGTCGCTGATGATGTTGGTATATCGATTGGCTCATCCCATGAAATCATTTCGAATGTTTTGGGTATGAAACGCGTGGCAGCAAAATTTGTTCTAAAATTGTTAAATTTTGAACAAAATTTTTGGCCAAAAACAATACTGTAATGATGCCCCAGCCTCCATATTCGCCAGACATGCCTCTGTCTGACTTTTTCCTATTCCCAAAAATAAAGAGAACCTTAAAGGGCCGTCGTTTTGCAAGCGTAGATGACATTAAAAGCGCATCGCTGAAAGAACTAAAGGCTATCCCAAAGATCGAGTTTTGAAGTGTTTCGAGTATTGGAAGAAGAGCTGGCACATGTGCATAATATCCAATGGGGACTATTTTCAAGGCGGCAACATTAATGTAGACGAATAAATAAATATTTGTTTCAAAAAACGAAAATTCCCGATATTTTTTGAACACACCTCGTATAGAGGTCGTAATTTTGTATATTTTTCCTAAAGGAATAATTGCCAATGGGCCATTAATTCATTTGTTCGTAGATGCTACAATAACCTGCACTGGTGTGTACTTTTTGATCAACCAGATTTAGATAAGGCTGTACTCTAACATATACCAGTGGATATAGTGCAGGGTCTACCAACAGACCTCATTACTAAATTATTAAAGTTTAATAGCATATCGATCGTTTTTTCAACATAACCTCTGAAATTTTTAATACCAATATATAATACATAAATATACTTTACATCATATCCTCTGTGCTTTACATACCTGAGTTGTTATGGTAAATAAAAATCAACAAAATCATATGCAGAAATGAGAATATTCAAAATACTTGCATCCATCAAAAGATCAAAACTTTGCAATATTGAATTACACCCTCTTTTTATGCTCTCAGAAATATCGACTAGAACAGTATTAGAGAGACTCCAGTTTATATAACTTGGTAGAGTAAAGAGAAGTCGAAACCGTTGCGATATCGCATTGCGCTGTTTTTTATAATTCTCGGGGACATTAAGGAAAATCATTGCCAGTAAAATTCGAAAAGCTCGAGTTTCTATGTCTCTGAAGAGAATAAGAATCCGAAGTTGCTGCACCATTGGACCGCCCCCTTTTTCGATAATTTCCAGAGACATAAACGACTGCGCCATTCGACAGGGTCGAGTTTCTACCTCTCTGTTGAATGTAGAAAATCAAAATAATGCATCTTGCAAGACACCATTGAGTTTGACTTTAACTATAGTCAAGTATAGGGGAGTCATCCTATACACTTCCATATTTTTCCGTTTGCTGTGTAGTTTCCCGTTTATTGAATCTGGATTCGTGGGAAATAGGTTGAAAAAGAAGCCTGCTACTCCAGCGGAAAGAACTCGAAAGTGTAGAGAGAAAAAGCGGCTTTTGTATGAGCAATACGAGCTACAACGTCAACAGGATTTAATAGAGGTGGTAACGGAAGCTGGTCCTTCAGATGTTAAAAAGGGAAAGACGTCAACGGAGAGGGTTAGGGAGTGGAGGGAAAAAAATAACCTCATCAAAGAGGTTAGGCGGCCAAAAACTTCGGCTGAGCGCGTGCGCGAGTATAGGAAGCGGAAAGCGCAGCTTCACTCGTGAATATTATCTTTTTGATTTATTATTTCGATTATTTTTCTATAAGGTTTTTTAAGTTAATAATTTGCCAATTAACAAACATCCAGAAACAATCCTGTTGGTTATGGTTCTGGTTTAAAAGTGATGTAAATTATGAAAATTATATAAATAAATAAAATTGTTACCACTAAAAATGTTGAATTATTCGAGAAAACCTAAGCAACATAGAGTTTAATTAAATGGTAAAAATTGGAAATTTAGGGTGTACTAAACCGTAGAAAAGTGTGACGTCATGTATACAGTATACAAAATCATAATAAATACAGACTGTATAGAATCAAGTAAGTAAGGCTGGAGACAAGGTTGACAAATTATATTCTGATCAGAGAAAAAGAAACAAACTTTAATTGGGCGTGGTTTAAACCAAGCCATTCGTAATTACGAACCATAGTTGCCAGGTTGTTTTAAATCAGAAGAGAACGATTATAATTATTTAATAAATAGTTCAATTTTAATTGTTTGAAACTTTAAAAATAACAAAAAAATTAATAATACGTCAAAAATAATTTGATTTAGTTAATTTTCTTACTTTTAATATTAAAAAATAAGAAAAACAACCCTTTTAGGAAACAATAATAGCATATGGCAACAGCGCGGCATGCAGCCAGATACAAGGGCATGCAGTTTGATCTACTGTGTTTGTTCAGTGGTTCAGTAGCTCCGACGCTGTCGTAGGGAAATGTGCATAGTTTTTAAGAAATACATTTTCGCCATTAACTAGAATTTAATGGATTTTAAACAATACTTAGTTTTTATTTGCAGAAATGCATTAAAACAAAACAAACGAATTCGATAAAAATAAAACCTATAAATTCTCAAACAAAAATAATTCAATCCCTACCACAGTGGGCGGGGTTTGGCACTTGTTTTATTTAAGTGTATCTATTCGTTTTAATACACACTGTATATAAATAATAGTGTACTTTTTTATAAAATTCGAATCTACGTAAAAAACTACGTATGTGTGCCAAAAAAAATTGACTTGCACGTTAAAATATTTTTCCATGTTTAATTGCTTGTTTTGGCTTGTACTGTCATCCCCCAAAAGGATGCTAATTTATTAGGAGACACGCTGTATAAATTATATATTTAGGGCCCCGACGTACGTGGAACCCTCTGACGGAGTTTTGGCCAAAAGCTATATGGTAGTGGACAAAACTGGAAAACCGAACCAATGCGGAACGCCAAAGTACCAACGTGTAAGTAAAGGTCCTACTTGTGGCACACCACTTCCCTCCACTCTGGTCGAGAAAAACAAGAAGGGGTTGCAATTTTTGACCGAGTTGCAGCAAAAAGAAAAGGAACATCAAATGCTACAAGGTTAGTACAATACTCTGAAGTCACACTCCAAGTAACAAAATAGGCAACAATTTAAGTATTTGTTACGTATATGGGACTATTGAAGAAACTTTAAAGTGTTTTGCGACAGTCGCCGGTCTCCTTATATTACTCTTTCATTACTAAGTTACGACTTAAGTGGGGAACAATTATTGAGTTCCAAAAATGTCACTAGCTATAAACCCTGCTACTATTTGGAACGTAGCTGCTACGTTACTAGAACGTTCCAATATCGTTGCTAGAGCGTTATAATTACTTTTATTTCCACCTTCTTAGTAAATGACATTTTATAGGTTAATTTTGTTGTTTTTGTATCCAAGTAAAAGATACATTATGGGAACAGACCTGTAATATTTTACGGGCTTGTATAAAAGACCTGTAAAGTTTTACAGGCTTGTAGAAAAGCAATTTATGAAATGAAATGTCACATTTGACTTATTAATAAAAAATTTAAATTTGAAATTCTTTATCTAAAGGTGAAAATAAAAGTTTGTACGTGTCACGCTTTGCAATTAATCTTTACTAGGCTCACTGTATTATGGGGTTCGCTCCTGCGTCGCTCACCCCACAAACTTTCAGCTCGCCCGTAAAGATTTATTTACAAAGCTTGACACGTAAATAACTATTATTTATTTGTTTTTACTTCTATATTAACTGTCTTTGTCAAACTTATATTAGATTATACTATCCCTCCTTTTTTAAATGGAACCACTACGGACTTGGCTTTTCAATGTCGTCGTTTATTAAATATGTACTGGTAGTTTATAACTTCCAGAATAACAAAATAATGTTTAATTTGGCAGGTAAATTTATAAACCCTTTAAATTTTACTGTTGAACTTATGAATTTAGTTTTTGTAAAATAAATGCGCTTCATCAATACTTAAGTATAAACAAATTATTTATTTAATAATGTTTAAAAATGTTTAAACATAATTATAAATAAAAAAATCTTAATATTTATATTAATTTTTTATTTAATTATTAATACCGTCTGTTACCAACAAAATTACTATTTGTTAAAAAGTAAACAACCATTTACAAACAATTAAAATAATTTATTATTTACATTACCACGTGGTACTGTAAAGTAAAAAATGGCCGATAAGAAGCATTTTCCTTTGAAGTAGTTTTCGCTACTTACTTTAAAGTTTTTTTCCACCTTAATTTACTTTACGGTAGTTTTTGTTAGAACCATAAACGTTCCAAATACTAAAATAATAACTTTTAAGTTATTAACATTGCAGTTTTTAACTCATGATCCAGTTTCTAGATTTTAACTTGCAAAGGGACTACAAAGTAAAAATAATTATAATGTAATATTTAGGTAGCAACCGAAAGTAACTGCTACAAATTAAATTTACCTGAAAGTTTTTTTTACTTAAAACACCTTTTTTAAAGTTGCAAAGTCTTCCTGGGGGCAACCAAGTTTTACTTAAATGTTTATTACTTTATAGTAACCATTTAAGGAAGGAATTAAGTTTCTGTTACAAAATATTGCTATTTAAAAGTTAGAATTACTTTTAAGTAAAAATTAAAGTAGCTGTTTAGTATACTTAACTAATTTAAAGTTATCACCACTTTGGTCATGGTTTTTGGACCCAAAAATGCTGCTTGGGTCCTTTTTGGTTCTAAGAAAGTCTTAAGCTTGCTGTAACAGCTCTATACTAGGGTGATTCATTTCCGCAAAGTTTTTGTTTTTTTTCGGTGCTCAAGCAAAATATTAATCTGCATATAGGAAAAAACATTCTCACCAAGTTTGAGCTGTTAATATTAATTTTAAGCACTTACTATTTAAATTTAAAGTTTTACCCTTTAAAATGCATTTTAAAATATATTTTTTCCGCAAACGTCAAAAAATGTCAACTTTGTTAACTTCAATTCATGATGTCAAAGTTTGATTTCACAGACGGCGGATGGTTGCCCATAGCAGCGTAGAAAAAAGTACTTTTTTGTACGCTCACGGGCGTAGAAAAAAGTACTTTTTTGTACGCTCACGGGCGTACAAAAAAGTGAAATTATATAAATTTAAAAGAGAAAGTAAAAATTCATTGAACTAGGGATATATAAACAAAGAACATACTTTTAAACTTTATTAACGATAATTAATGGTAAAAATACAATTATTTAAGGTTGCACCGGAATAATTTAATGCAACTTTTGAGTTATTAATTTCTAAGTCATCACCATTTTGTTCAGAGTTTAATAAATTTGGTAATAAAATTTCCCTTGACTCCTTACTCGTTGTTGCTTCTGTTATATCTACTGCAACAGAATTCTGCTCATCAAAATCTGCATTCAGGTTCAGTGAAGAAGAATCTGACATCAAGATTTTTTTTGCAGTTTCTTTTTTATTAGACAAAGAGTTCTCTATGTATCCTTCGGCCACACTGCTTGACTTCCAGCCTCCATGTCGCTTTAAACAAGTGATATCAGCTCCCCCATCTACAAGCAAAGTAGCTGAAGTTCTTCTTAAAGCATGGCCTGTGTAATTTTTTAAATCCGGTAGTTTTAAAAAAGTTGCTATTTTTTTGGGGACGTTACTAATTGTATGAATTCCCATGACCATGCGATAACATTTTCCATTTTGAAATTTTAAAAAAAATCGTCGGCTTTCAAAAGCATGTGGACGTAAAGAAGTATATTTTCTATACAGGTGTACGTACTTTTCTCCAATAATTGTAAACGATCGTGGCTTTTTCGTTTTATTATCAGGAATTTTTATATGAATAACAGATCCTAAATCTTCTATATTGTCTATGCTCATATTCACCATTTCTTCGCACCTACATGCTCCTGACACGCCTATTATTAAAACTATCTGAAAGTAGCATATATTTTAAAACATAAATGTAATTATGCAGGTATATTATACCAAACCTTAATTCCTAGATATTGCTCATTAGGGGCTTGATTTAAAAAGTATTCAAACTGTTCCTTTGTGAACACATTTGACTTTTTGGGGGTATAGCCTTCATTCTGCTTTTTCAAATAAGCACGTAGCTTCATATATTTGCTAATATCTAATCCATGTTTGATATTCAGCAAAGATTTAATCATGGAATATTGGGACCACATTGTGGAACTCTTCATTTTAAGTTTGGTTGCTAGTTCATAAAAATAAGCTAGTAGCACATTTTCCGAATAATTTGTAATGTGTTTCTCATTGCACCATGTGAGAAATCTTTCATAAGCATTATTATAAACTCTGCTTGACTTAGTTGGAATTAAATCGTTCGTAGCTGCTTGAGCAATGTTAACAACATCGGGCGGCGTACCGTTAAGTTCAGAATCAGACATAATGTAATCTATAAGAAAATTTGTTTAATATATTTTAATACTACAAGTCTAGCTCATCTACTCACTAAAAATGCACAGCACAGAACAGATGCACAGTCCCTTTGTTACTGCTCTGAATGTTTTGGTTGAAATGTCATAATTTTTTTGAAATGTCATATTTTTTTTGCCTTGACAACCCTTAAGCCACAGAATTACATTTTTCTTTATCTTTTTTAAAAATATTCATTTGAAAACCGTTTGCGGAAAAAATAGCATGTTTTATTCGGTGTAAAAGCACTTTTTGTGGCTCGCCTGAAATTTGCCAGCCTCACTACGTTCGGCCGGCAAACATTCAGTCTCACCACAAAAAGTCTTGCTTTTACTCCTAATAAAACAATATACTATTTTTTCAAATTTCTAATGCTTACCCACCTTTGACAATATTGCAAATCGGTTTAATACACCTTATGGGGAATTTCACGCTCTTTAAAATTGCTTTTGAGTTTTTTTGTAACTCGCATTGGTTCACCAGTAGGAGTCGTCAAAGGACAGTTTTTGAAAAAAATCGTTTTTTTTTATTTTTTTGAGCAAATCGCCAAAAGTAGTGAGAAAAAAGGGCTGATTCATAAAAAAAAAGTTATCCAACCAATATTTAATGAATTTACTGCCATTTTTATAACTGAAAAAGTAAGAAATTGATAAATACCAACCCATAATGTTATTTAGATTGATTTTTTCTATTTATTATCATTATATTTCCCTACACTAAGAACTTTTTTAAAATTATTATGATTTCTCACTCATAATGAATATGAAAACAACACATAAATTCATAAAAAAACAACAAAACTTTAATCGGAATATACAGAAGGTTATGTAACATATTTCAAATTTTGCTTCAAAAAATTAAATAATCTTCATTTATATTTTTTTGCTATATGACAGAAATGTTGAAAAATTGCAAAATCCACGTTACAATTTTCTTATTGTTTTTTATGAATTTATCTGTTGTTTTCATATTCATTATAAGTGAGAAATCAATAATTTAAAAAAACTGTGTAGGGAAATATAATGATAATAAATAAAAAAAATCAATCTAAATAACATTATGAGTTGGTTATTATCAATTTTTTACGTTTTCAGTTATAAAAATGGCTGTAAATTCATTAAATATTGGTTGGATAACTTTTTTTATGATTCACCCCTTTTTTCTCCCTACTTTTTGCGGTTTGTTAGAAAAAATTTAAAAAAAAAACGATTTTTTTCAAAAACTGTCCTTTGACGACTCCTACTGGTGAACCAATGCGAGTTACAAAAAAAACTCAAAAGCAATTTTAAAGAGCGTGAAATTCCCCATAAGGTGTATTAAACCGATTTGCAATATTGTCAGACGTGGGTAAGCATTAGAAATTTGAAAAAAAAAATATATTTTTTACATGCATTTTAAACGGTTAATTTAAATAGTAAGTACTTAAAATTTATATTAAGAGCTCAAACTTGTTGAGAATTTTTTTTTCTATATGCAGATTAATATTTTGCTTGAGCACCGAAGAAAACAAAAACTTTGCGGAAATGAATCACCCTACTCTATACAGTAATAATAAACCTAATGTGTTACTCGGGACACACCCACGCGACTTGATCTTGTCACGTATATTTTAATTTTTAGCGCTTGTAGGCGCGGGCACCAGCACTCAGAATGCTGCGCAGACGAATACTGCGCAAGACGACCAATCGAAACTCAAACTTTTACTATTGCAGGCCAAATCGAAGAACGACGAAGTCGTTAGAAGTAGGTTGTGTTATCTAGCGTCTTACCTTGTAATGTTTTTGTTTAATTTCAGAATTTATCGCTAGAGAGAAAAAGAAATGCAAAGAATCCTTTCCACCGGTAAGTTCCCTTTCATTTTGTAAAACATGCGCCTGTTCCCTTTCAATTATTTCGTCTGTAGACGCATGCGCTCGAAGAATTTCTTAAACACCCACGTTTATAAATGTAATTCGCTATTCCGTTTCCAAAATTCGCTGTTTGGTGAACATACGTGACGTTTGAAAACGTATGTTTAAGCGCGCTTGCCTGAGAGGTGCTGTTAGCCGATATTCGAGGTTTTTATCTTGCATTAATCATAAATTGCGGCGATGTTTGGTACAGTATACGGTACAGTATCATTATCAAGCATAGTGATTGTCTTAAATTAATTGGTAATCATGAATTAATTACTTTTTCATAATTAATACCTAATTAATTATAATTATAAATGATAAATAATTATTTATAAATGAGAATGGGACAAATCACATAAGGAGTCACAATAAACAAATAAAAAAAATTTTGTTGCAATATTAAAAATATTTTTATGGTTTGCTTTTTTAATTATTAAAATGTATTTTTTATTTATCATAATAATACAAAAATACAAATTTTGCTTTAATAAATTGTTTAATAAAATTAATTTATTTAGAAAAAAACAGAAAATTAAAAAAATTGAGTGTGACGTGAGAATTTGGGGAGAGGGAGGTCAAGACTTTGACAATATATGTTACAAGGGGAGCAGAGTATCTAAAAACGACTAAAAACTATATATATATTGTTAGAATAAAAAATAACTTGGAAAAAATATATTTTAATAAAAAGTACAACAAATATAAAATATCAAATACCTATGTATGTAATATTATTACACAAAAATATAGACAGAAAATTAGTCAAACAAAACAAAATTCAAAACAATATGCATCTAAAAACTCATCTCAAATTTTGTCTTCAAATGGAAGCTAAAACTTTTTTGTTTAATTTTAAAATCTTAGGTTTTATCAATCCCTTTTAAAACCTCTACACCAAAGGACACTCTACACCTTCGCTACTCATCGCAGTTTGAGTTGGACTTTCTCTTGGCCTCTTTTTGCCTCTCTGTTGTGGAAGGGGCCCTTCCACACGGCCTGTGTTGACCTTAAAGGCCGGTCAATGCAGAGTTCAAAAGATGGTAATCCCTCCACCACTAACTTCCCTGTTAATTTATCATCAATGGCATTAAGTTGTTTTGCTGGCTCCCCAACATTGCCAGTCTCCATGTGAGAAATGCCCTTTTCCTTACATGGGCCTTCAAGTCACTAAAAATAAGAAAGAAGATCTGTTCTTTGGCTAGTTTAGCATAAAACGTTTTTTCCAAGTATTTTTAGAATTCGTGGATTTTCTTAAGTTGTTTTTAAGTTCATTTAATATATTAAATATCACCAATGATTTTTAAAATAATTTTTTAACAGAATTTTGGTTTACGATCTGCGAGTTTTAGGTTATAAACTAAGATACTCTCTGTCCTAGAAACATTTATCGCTGTTCGGAAAGATACAAGGTCAAGCCTTTAAATATACGAGAAACGGAATGCATTTAAACTTAGGTGATGTTTGGGTTGTCGCACGGTACACAAAAACCAGTATGTGCATGTTACCTATAGTGTAACAAATTTTAAGAGAAAGTTATATTGGCAGCAAGCTCTTTTAATACTAATGCATTTTTCAAAATATATTTTGTTTAATTGAATTAACTTAACTTACTCTAGACCGAATTTTACATTTTTTTTAATGTAAAAGGTAACAAAACCATAAAAATGCATTTATGCGCTAAAGAAGTATCGCTGTTAGCGCCACCACTCGTACAACTTTTAATAATCAGCTGTCAAACGCTTATGTTACAAACGAGTGTTTTTGAGAATAAAGCCGGAAAATGATAAAAAATATCGGAAAAAAACCGTGGCTCGATTTGTTGTGTTGTTGGGTGTATTTCGAGAGGAATCCTGGGTTGAGTTTTTACCGGTTTTCCAATAAACAGTGTTAATCTGAATGAAGAAATAAATTGTAAATATAAATTGTACCTATTAGATACAATAAATTCACATTTTAGTAGTGATTAACGTGAAAAGTGTAAACATTTCAATTCAGTTTAAATCGTCAAACAAATAGGTCGTCTAAATTTAAACAGCATTTAGCATTATTAAAAGAGTTGATTAAGAAAGTCTCCACTCAACGGTAAAATACCATTATATTATGTATTATATATAATATTATGTTGCCATGAATTCGTAGGTATATTTTGTAGTTTAAAATGCAGTTGTCGGCGTTTTTTAGAGAACTCAAACATAAAAATGGTTGATTTTAAGGTTATGTTTGTGCAAAAATTATTTTTACTAATTTCTTAAAAATGTCCAAACTTAAATATAAATTATATTAGGTAAAGTTATCATTAGTTAATTCTGCCCAACAAATGTACTTACCGAATTGGATCCTTTGGCAAAACATGAAAACGCAACGATTCAGTTCTTGAATTTTATTTACAATTAAAAACGCAATAATTCACCATGATCCCTTAGATAAAATACACACACTAACGTAGCTATATAAGCATTTAAGCGTTGAGTTTCTTAATCAATGATATAAGGAATAATCAATCGAAATCGAGTGATAAACTAGTTTTTTAGTTTTTTCCTTGCAACGTACCTATTTATTTAAAAACTAAGTATAATCTGTGCTATCCCGATACTTCTTTAGCGTATAGCTTATGCCTAACAGGCATTGCGTATGCAAAACTGTTTGTAACATTTTAAGAAAGGGAATAGGCCTCTTAATATCCCAATACAAAAGTACAAAGTCATTAAATAATTTGATTTCGCCGGCAGTAAACTAGTATTTGCCCGTAAAAAATCCTCTTCACTTTCATGGTGAAAGAAACTGCTTCCACATCGGTTATAAACGGTTGTTGGTCCATTTACTATATTTTTTTATAGTTGAAAATGCACAAATACGATAAAGTCGGTAACTACGTTGAAGATCACGACTACCTCTACACTCCGTTCGAGATAAATCACATGGTGTACGGATATAAAAGCGAAAAAGTGTTTTGCACCATCTGTCGGTCGTTTCACGATTTAAAATCTCACGGAGGTCACATGCAGATGCACCTCAGTGCTAGAATGGTGAGTGCGGTTTGTTTTTTTGCTTACACAGCAAAGGGAAAAATATAGAAGTGTATAGGATGACGCCACGTTTAATGTCGAATATTTTTGCTAAAGGAATAATTGCCAATGAGCCTTTAATTCATTTGTGCGTAGACGCTACAATAACCTGCACTGGTGTGTACTTTTTTATCAACCAAATTTAAATATTGCTGCACTAACATATACCAGTGGAGATAGTGCAGGGTCTACCAACAGACCTCATTACTAAATTATTAAAGTTTAATAGCATATCGATCGTTTTTTCAACATAACCTCTGAAATTTTTAATACAAATATATAATACATCATATCCTCTGTGCTTTACATACCTGGGTTGTTACAGTAAACAAAAATCAGACAAAGGAACCAAAGAAAGGAACTGTTTTCAACAAAATCATATGCCGACATGAGAATATTCAAAATACTTGCATCCACCAAAAGATCAAAACTTTGCAATATTGAATTACACCCCCTTTTTATGCTCTCAGAAATATTGACTGGAACAGTATTAGTAGACTCCAGTTTCTATAACTTGGTGGAGTAAAGAGAAGTCGAAACCGTTGCGATATTGCATTGCGCTGTTTTTTATAATTCTCGGGGACATTAACGAAATCATTGCCAGTAAAATTCGAAAAGCTCGAGTTTTTATGTCTCTGAAGAGAATAAGAATCCGAAGCTGCTGCACCATTGGACCGCCCCCTTTTTCAATAATTTCCAGAGACATAAACGACTGCGCCATTCGACAGGGTCGAGTTTCCACCTCTCTGTTGAATATAGAAAATCATGCATCTTGTAAGACACCATTGAGTTTGACTTTAACTATGGTCGTGCATAGGTGTAGAGGCGAAAAATATAAAAATACAGTTTTAATAAAACTTTAAGATTCAAACGGGGAGTCATCCTATACACTTCTAAACTCACAGGCAAAATAATAGATCCACACAAATTTTCGATGAATTTTTCAATCGCAAATAACTTTTTTATTTGATGTCGGATTTAAACGAATATTAAAGAATATTGTAGATAAATTAATGGACAATCGCTCACATTTTAAAAAATTACTAAAAAATAGACGTACGTTTATAATATACAGGTTTAAACAAAAATATGTTTTTTACCATAAGTTTAAGAAACTCTGTAGAGTGGCAAAACCGAATATTGTTCTAAATTAAGTTGTATTTATCAAGTCACAACTATTCTTAACAGTTTTGTTTTTGGTTTACCTCGATATATTTATTTTTGTGAAAAATATGGATTTTTAAGATAAACATTGCAATTTCCAATATTTTTCTGTATGAAGAACTAAGGTTGCTATGGTCCATCCATAGGCTATGGAGAATGACAGTGACAGTTTTGTTGAATCATCCCATACTTGGACATGTCATACACGGCTTTCAAAAGCTATCAAATTGTTTTTTGCAAATTAGTGTTTAAATTTTGAGGTGTCTTCTTACTTTAAAAAATGGATATGTTGCCAGAGCCATTAATTTAATCCAGGATGGACGGTCACAGTATTACGTGGCAAGTGTTTTAAACGTCACAAGAAGTAAAGTACAAAGGGCAACATCAGTCGGAGACATTTTTAAAAGTATGAAGACACCTCAAAATTAACACATTAATTTACAAAAAACAATTTGATAGCTTTTGAAAGCCGTATATGGCATGCCCAAGTATGGGATGATTCAACAAAACTGTCACTGTCATCCTGCATAGGCTATGGATGGACCATAGCAACCTTAGTTCTTTATGAAGGAAAAATATTGGAAATTGCAATGTTTTTAAAAAAAAATCCATATTTTCCACAAAAATAAATATATCAAGGTGAACCAAAAACAAAACTGTTAAAAATAGATGTGACTTGATAATTAAAACTTAATTTAGAACAATATACGGTTTTGCCACTCTACAGAGTGTCTTAAACTTATGGTAAAAAAAATCTTTTTGTTTAAACCTGTATATTATAAACGTACGTGTATTTTTTAGTAATTTTTTAAAATGTGCGCGATTCTCCATTAATGTATCTACAATATTCTTTAATATTCGTTTAAATCCGACTTCAAATAAAAAAGTTATTTGCGATTGAAATTCATCGAAAATTTGTGTGGATCGATTATTTTGCCTGTGAGTGTATATACAGAAAGGTCACCCAAACGTCAAATTTTTTAGGAGTGCACCTTGCACCCGCGCACCGTCAAGTTCGACAACATCTACGAGTACAACGAGCATATGATGACGCACGAACGTCCCTGCTCCATTTGCTTTAAGAAAGTTTCTGGCAACTTTAGAGAACACGCGATGCAACATTCAAACTTGTCGTTCGTGACCAGTTTAAAAGCGAATAACGACGACGGCGAAATTTCGAACGCTATAGACAGATTCTGCCGGCGATGTCAATGTAAAGTGCGATGCACAGACGTAAGTATTCAGGGCAGCCACCAATTCCTTACGCCGCGAACGTCGCAATACACGCAACAAGGTCTATACGCTAAAGAAGTATCGCTAGTAGCGCCACCACTCGACTAATATCAGTACTATGCTCCACACCTCAAAGTCCCACCACGTGACCACGTACGGAACGCAGTCTTTTGAAAATTTGGCATTTAAGGCTTTTCAGGTTATGTATCTGTCAAAGTATAGTCAACGAAAGAAATAATATTATGTTTAGGGGTTAAAAATTTATAAATCTTTATAACATTACAATAACAATGGATGGTTTAAGAATTTAAGAATATAAATACTGCATTTAATGAAATTCTCAAGTGTATGGTGCCAAATAAGTAATATTTTTGTGCATTTGGTCCAAATATCTGGTTTTCTCCACAAAATAATTTTAACTAAACAGCATTTATTAAAAGAAATCTAACTTCTCTATTATGGAATAAGAATATCTGTATTAAAGGTAGGTTAATATATTATAACAAAAATATCATCTAATTTTGTAATTTTAAGGTTAGAAAAATTTATTTTGACCAAAATAAATAAGTATTTTGGATTATTTAAAAGACAGTATAATATGGTATTTAAAAATTTGGTAGTTTTTCTTATCCAGCTTAAAGTGTACCTACATAAAGTTTTGTCAATACAAATAGTTAAAAAGCTTTGACTGAACTTGATCTACATCGAAAAATCGTTATAACTTTTAAAATTTTAATAAATCGCATGTCATGGAAGTATTAAATATTATCACATTGCAAGTTTCTCTAAAAATTGTTTGTTTTCTTATAATCTAACTTAAAGTAGGTATGCCGAGAGGTATGCACAAGTTTTGTCGTTAGAAGTATAAAAGCTTCAATTTAATTTGAACCATATTCAACAATTATTTAGTGTACCTATATTTATTTATGACCATATTAAAACACTCTTCTAAATAATCCACTTATTTATTTTGGTCAAAATAGATTTTTCTAACCTTAAAATACAAAATTAGATGATATTTTTTGTTCTAATACATTAACCTACCTTTGATACAGATATTCTTATTTCATAATAGAGAAGTTAGATTTTTTTTAATAAATGCTGTTTAGTTAAAACTATTTTATGGAGAAATGTAGACCCAATGCACAAAAATATCACTTATATTGCACCTTACACTTTGGAATTTCATTAAATGCAGTATTTATATTCCTAAATTCTTAAACCAACCATTGTTATTGTGATACTATAAAGATTTATTAACTTTTAACGCTTAAACATAAGCGGTAACACTTTAAATATTATTTCTTTCATTGACTATACTTTGACAGATACATGACCTGAAAAGCCTTAAATGCCAAATTTTCAAAAGACTGCGTTCCGTACGTGGTCACGTGGTGGGACTTTGAGGTGTGGAGCATAGTACCTACAACTTTTGATAATCAGCTGTCAAACGCGTGTGTTACAAACGAGTGTTTCTGAGAATAAAGCCGGAAAATGTTAAAAAATATCGGAAAAAAACCGTGGCACGATTTGTTGTGTTGTTGGGTGCATTTCGAGAGAAAATCCTAGGTTGAGTTTTTACCGGTTTTCCAATAAACAGTGTTAATCCGAATGAAGAAATAAATCGCATACAGTCCCTGTAAATATAAATTGTACCTATTAGATACAATAAATATACATTTTAGTAGTGATTAACGTGAACAGTGTAAACATTCCAATTCAGTAAAAATCGTCAAACAAATAAGTCGTCTAAATTTAAACAGCATTTAGCATTATTAAAAGCGTTGATTAAGAAAGTCTCCACTCAACGGTAAAATACCATTATATTATGTATTATATATAATATTATGTTGCCATGAATTCGTAGGTATATTTTGTTGTTTAAAATGCAGTTGTCGGCGTTTTTTAGAAAACTCAAACATAAAAATGGTTGATTTAAAGGTTATGTTTGTGCAAAAATTATTTTTTACTAATTTCTTAAAAATGTCCAAACTTAAATATAAATTATATTAGGTAAAGTTATCGTTAGTTAATTCTGCACCAACAAATGCACTTACCGAATTGGATCCTTTGGCAAAACATGAAAATGCAACGATTTAGTTCTTGAATTTTATTTACAATTAAAAACACAATAATCACAATGATCCCTTGGATAAAATACACACACTAACGTAACTATATAAGCATTTAAGCGTTGAGTTTCTTAATCAATGATATGAAGAATAATCAATCGAAATCGAGTACTAAACCAGTTTTTTCCTAGCAACGTATTTAAAAATGATGTACAGTTGGTATGCTTTAAATGTATTGTTGACAATTCTTAAATTTACACAATGCTTTTGAAGTCCACCAGATGGCGCGCGCGTTGCTAAAACCCGATACTTCTTTAGCGTATATTTTAAAGTTTTAAAAAACGAATTTATGTTTTTGAGAAACGACATAGAACAGATCTTGTTGTATGGATTGCGACTTTGAATTTCCCACAATCCAAACAACAAGGTCTGTTCTATCTCGTATTAAAAATACAAAAAATCACTGCAACACTGCACAGTTTAACGGCGGCCATTTTTGTTGTTTACAATTTTTGTGCTTTGGGTTTGTGCTCTTTTTATACAGATTAATAATCGTTTTAAACGTTGTGTTTCTCATAGTAAGCCTTAAAAGAGTCCTTAAAGTGCTAAGAACAACCATTTTACTCCTCTATTGTAAAAAATAAACTTTATTCTAGCAGGGCTGTCATAAAACTGTCAAATGTAAATTTTAAGGTTAAATTATAACCCACAAATTAACCTTCAAATTGTCATTTGACAGCCCTGATAGAATAAGGTATATTTATTATAAAAGAGGAGTAAAATGGTTGTCCTTAGCACTTAAAGGCCTTATTTGAGGCTTACAAGTGCCTCTGTAAGAAACACAACGATTAAAACAATTATTAAACCGCACAAACCCAAAGCACAAGAATTGTAAACAACAAAAATGGCCGCCGTTAAACTCTGTGCAGTGTTGCAGTGATTTTTAGTATTTTTAGCATGAGATAGAACAGACCTTGTTGTGTGGATTGTGCACTTTCCTATGTTATTTCAATGGTAGTATAGAACCTTAGACATAAAAAAAGGTTAGATGGAGCACAGGTTGAAAAACAAGTCGAATTTTTTTTAAGGAGGAATTTGCGATGCACGCCTCAAAATGTTTCCCCCTGCCCTGGAAAGATGCCGTACCTAAAAATTATACGAAATCGAATGTTCCTTCGATGGTAAAAATAAGAAATAAAATTAAAAGGAAGCTTGACGAAGCGCCAACGATAAACCAGTCAAAACAAGCCAAAACAAGTCAGGAGTGCCCTGATGTTTCGGATAGCCCTGAAAATCAAATATTCGTGGATGATGTTTTCAATCAAGATAATACTGAGATGCCTTTTTTGATAACCAACAGTAAGTTTTTATTTTTACTTATTTTATTTGTGAAAATTTTATACAAAACATAATTTAAGAATGTCAAATGTACTATGCTCCACACCTCAAAGTCCCACCACGTGACCACGTACGGAACGCAGTCTTTTGAAAATTTGGCATTTAAGGCTTTTCAGGTTATGTATCTGTCAAAGTATAGTCAATGAAAGAAATAATATTTATAGTGTTACCGCTTATGTTTAAGCGGTAAAAGTTAATAAATCTTTATAGTATCACAATAACACTGGTTAGTTTAATAATTTAGGAATATAAATACTGCATTTAATGAAATTCCAAAGTATAAGGTGCAATATAAGTGATATTTTTGTGCATTGGGTCTACATTTCTCCATAAAATAGTTTCAACTAAACATCATTTATTATTATTCTCTATTATGAAATAAAAATATCTGTATCAAAGGTAGGTTAATGTATTTAAACAAAAAATATCATCTAATTTTGTATTTTAAGGTTAAAAAAATCTATTTTGACCAAAATAAATAAGTGGATTATTTGGAAGAGTGTGTTAATATGGTCATAAATAAATATAGGTAAACTAAATAATTGTTGAATATGGTTCAAATTAAATTAAAGCTTTTATACTTCTAACGACAAAACTTGTGCATACCTCTTGGCATACCTACTTTAAGTTAGATTATAAGAAAACAAACAATTTTTAGAGAAACTTGCAATGTGAAAATATTTAATACTCCCATGACATGTGATTTATTAAAATATTAAAGTTATAATGATTTTTTGATGTAGATCAAATTCAGTTGAAGCTTTTTAACTATTTGTATTGACAAAACTTTATGTAAGCTGGATAAGAAAAACTACCACATTTTTAAATACCATATTATACTGTCTTTTAAATAATCCAAAATACTTATTTATTTTGGTAAAAATAAATTTTTCTAAACTTAAAATTACAAAATTAGATGATATTTTTGTTATAATATATTAACCTACCTTTAAAACAGATATTCTAATTCCATAATAGAGAAGCTAGATTTTTTTAATAAATGCTGTTTAGTTAAAATTATTTTATGAAGAAAACCAGATATTTGGACCAAATGCACAAAAATATTACTTATATGGCACCATACACTTTAGAATTTCATTAAATTCAGTATTTATATTCTTAAATTCTTAAACCATACATTGTTATTCTAATGTTATAGAAGATTTATACATTTTTAACGCCTAAACATAATATTATTTCTTTCGTTGACTACTTTGACAGATACATAACCTGAAAAGCCTTAAATGCCAAATTCTGGACAGTAAAGCCACCTATATTTAACTACTTTTTTATATGATTTTAATCATCCAAGCACCACCAAAGCCAAATTAATTTCATTTTTAACTACGAATTTCGACAACTCAACTTGACAACTGCACAATGTCACCTACAATAATTTATACATAACCGCAATTATATTTATAACTAGCTTAGTTTGTTTTAATCGATGCGACCAACTTGACAACTGTATTTACCAACCAAAACCCTAAATTTGCAACGTTGCCGCAGTCCAGATAAAAAAAATGAACTTTATGTTTTGTGTTTTTTTTTTAGTATGCACGGTAAAAGAGGAGGACGATTCTTTGAACTCTCCTTTAGAGGTGTGTACAGTTGATGAAGTTCACTTAAAAAATGATGAAGGTAACTAACTAACTAACTAGAGGAAGTTAAAAAATGATCTTGAATTTTCGTTTCGTGTTTATTTTTAGAGTTTCCCGGACCTTCAACAGTAAAGACGATACGTTTAGCGGAAGTCGATAAAATAGATTGCTTGGATTACACTGATCAGAATGAGAAAAACATGAACCACTTTTCGGAATTTTTATCGAACAATGACGATTACGATTCTTCATCAGAGACCTCTGACGGCGGCTTTAAGAGTACGTTTTTAATGGCAATATTAACGCTAGTTTTTGAAATATGAATTTTAATTTTCGGAGGTTTTTTGACGTTTTTGAGTATAGCTTGAAATCTGATTGATCGATTTGGTCAAACAAGCCCTTAAATTGAACTTTCTTTTACATACTTTTGACATCGGATAAGTATTTTGACGCTAGCGATTTTAATAACTTTAAAAATTCGTTTTTATGGCAAAAATTTACATATCGTCCTGGGAAACGTTTAAATCAAACAGATAACTCCAGTTTGAATTTTTTTCGCGAAGCTGACATTTTTACAAAATAAACAAGCTAATGTTGATAAAAATACATGGAAAAATGGCGAAGTTATGAATTTTTTAGTGGAAGACCAAATTTCAGCTTTTTGACGATTTTTATTTTATATTGCAATATGTTCTTTAATGAAAAGCTAATTAAAGTGCATGATTGGAATTTATTCACCGAAAACATTATATAAAATTTAAATTTGACATGACTCCGCAAACGTGAATTCTTTGGTTTCTCGTGTTGATTTAGTGACATTTTACCGCTATTTTTTGATATTTTAACAAGGTATTTTTATCGTGGTTTTATTTAGTTAATAATAAGTGTAAAATGAGTACAAAATTAGAGAGTTCGAGTGCGTAAATAACCCGCACAATCTGGGCGACGTAAGTGATGAGCGCGGAGAACGTTTTCACCGGCAAATGAAGGCTATTGGGCGGCGGTATCACGGCTTCTGGGATGCAGCCATGATAGGTGATTACATTTGGTCCCTCATACGAGAAACGGAATACGAAAGCAACAAAAAACAAAGAAGGAGACAGATTTTTTTAAACCTATGCTTATTACAACAAAATAAAACTTCAACGTTCAATATTTATTGTTCAATCTCCAATATATAATTTTATTTCAATATTTAATGTTTAAAATAAATATTAAATTTTATATAATTCAATAAAATGAAGAAAAAACGTAAAAATTCTCGAAAAACTGAATTTTGCTCTTCCACTGAAAAATTCATAACTTCGCCATTTATCCATGGATTTTTATCAACAGCAGCTTATTTTTTTCCTTTAAGTATAATCTATACGTAAAATAAATTAAACTGGACTTATCTTTTCGATTTCTATCTTTAACAGAAAGATATGTAAATTTTCGACCTCGATTTTTGTAAAAAAAAAGGACTTTTTCAACTTCATAAAATCGCCAGTATCGAACTACTGAGCCGATACCAAAACTATACAAGATAAAGTGTAGAGGGCTCATTTACCTTTGATTTAAGTGCTTGTTTGGTCGAATCGATCAATTAGAACTCGAAGTGTACTCTTAAACGACAAAACACCTCAGAAAATTAAAAAAAAAAAACAATTGAAAATTCATATTTCAAAAACGCTTCCTTGAAAAAAATTTTAAGCGTGATTTTCGCGTTTAGTGAGCCAAACTACACAAGAAAAAATGGCTGTAAACTAGTTAAATACACTCACAGGCAAAATAATCGATCCACACAAATTTTCGATAAATTTCAATCGCAAATAACTTTTTTATTTGATGTCGGATTTAAACGAATATTAAAGAATATTGTAGATAACTTAATGGACAATCGCTTACATTTTAAAAAATTACTAAAAAATAAACGTACGTTTATAATATACAGGTTTAAACAAAAAGATATTTTTTACCATAAGTTTAAGACACTCTGTAGAGTGGCAAAACCGTATATTGTTCTAAATTAAGTTTTATTTATCAAGTCACATCTATTCTTAATAGTTTTGTTTTTGGTTTACCTCGATATATTTATTTTTGTGGAAATATGGATTTAAAAAAAAAACATTGCAATTTCCAATATTTTTCTGTATGAAGAACTAAGGTTGCTATGGTCCATCCATAGGCTATGGAGAATGACAGTGACAGTTTTGTTGAATCATCCCATACTTGTACATGTCATACACGGCTTTCAAAAGCTATCGAATTGTTTTTTGCAAATTAATGTTTAAATTTTGAGGTGTCTTCTTACTTTAAAAAATGGATATGTCTCCGACTGATGTTGCCAGAGCCATTAATTTAATCCAGGATGGACGGTCACAGTATTATGTGGCAAGTGTTTTAAAAGTCACAAGAAGTAAAGTACAAAGGGCAACATCAGTCGGAGACATTTTTTAAAGTAAGAAGACACCTCAAAATTAAAACATTAATTTACAAAAAAAAAATTGATAGCTTTTGAAAGCTGTATATGACATGTCCAAGTATGGGATGATTCAACAAAACTGTCACTGTCATCCTCCATAGGCTATGGATGGACCATAGCAACCTTAGTTCTTCATACAGGAAAATATTGGAAATTGCAATGTTTTTTAAAAAAATCCATATTTTCCACAAAAATAAATATATCAAGGTGAACCAAAAACAAAACTGTTCAAAATAGATGCGACTTGATAATTAAAACTTAATTTAGAACAATATACGGTTTTGCCACTTTACAGAGTGTTTTAAACTTATGGTAAAAAACATCTTTTTGTTTAAACCTGTATATTATAAACGTACGTGTATTTTTTAGTTATTTTTAAAATGAGAGCGATTGTCCATTAATGTATCTACAATATTCTTTAATATTCGTATAAATCCGACATCAAATAAAAAAGTTATTTGCGATTGAAATTCATCGAAAATTTGTGTGAATCGATTATTTTGCCTGTGAGTGTAGAATGACATATTTTTGTTGTTATAGATATTGATTCTGAGGTAGTTTGGAGGTATTTGTTGGACATTTTTGAGGGTACCTCAGGAAAGAATTTATTGACCCCTTATTCCGAACCCACTAAGACTATATCCAATACTTTCACCAAATCAATTTGGGATGACATCACCTATTTACTAAAACAAAAGTACAAGGTGCAAGTAGATAATTACATGCAAATTGAAAAGGTAGGAGTCATTTAAAAAATTTATCGACATTTTATAAATTTTTTTTAGCTCTTGCACAGTAAAAATCGCCTACTAAAAAGGTTGATAAGAACTTTCCGAGAGGAAATTTTCGATGCGGAAGCCTCTTTCAAAACCAACAAAAAAAACCTGTTGCAATTTTTGGATGCCAGTGATAAAAGACTTTTTTATTTACTAAAATTGGAACCCCGCGTTGTAATTAACGAATTCATGAGAAGCCATGAGAAAAAAATTAAGAATCTTGAAATAATTAATACGTAGTTTTAAGTTAAGTTAAGTTAAGTAAAAATAGTTCAATATTCTTAGGTAAATTGCAAGCCCAAAAAGTCCTCTAATTTTAATCTTATATTGTATTTCCAAAAGACTGTGTTTTTAGTGTTAACAGTATAAATAAATTTATATTTTGTTAAAAAAAACGTTTATTTATTGTTTACAACAGACTACCTACAGGTAAAACTAAAAGAAAAAAAGACTGTATAAAGGGAGAAAAGCAAACTTTGAAAATAATTCTAAAAAAAATATATTCATCCTTTGATTTCTTCCATTTTAATAATACAAAAAATTATAATGATTAATACAATTATTGTGTAATGTATATGATTCATACATATTCAAAATATTGGTATCAAAACAATAAATTCGCATTAGTAATTAATTGAAAATAAATAAATTAAATTAATTCTTGAGTCACCACTGAGTGGTTAAAATAAATGAACGATTGGGAAAAATAAAGAAAAATTTCAATTAAAAAAAAATTACAGAAAAGTCGGATTTTCATTGAAAAAAATTAAAAATGGCGAAGAATTGATGTTTTTTTCTAAAAAGTACAATAAAAAAACAAAAAATTAAAAAAAACCGTCTCATTTAGTAAAAGTTACGGTGTATTTAAAAAAAGAGCCATATTTTTGAAAAATTCCCTTTTTTTTCAGTTGTGTAAAAAAATTTGAAAAATTCTGAGACACATTTTTAGTGGGGTAGAAAAATATAATAAATATATAATCCTGGACAATATATACATTAAAATTATTATTAAGCCACTGCAAGTATTGACATGCAGTGGCTTTAACACAATACCCATTCACCATGGGAGTACATACATTTTTAATTTCTTTTATATAAATTCCTTTCAAAGCTAAGATTATTATCCGCTAGGAATACTTTGTCTCTGCCTTAGTCACCTATATTTAACTACTTTTTATGATTTTGCTCATCTACACACCACCAAAGCCAAATTAATTTATTTTTAACTACGAATTTTGACAACTTAACTTGACAACCGTTCAATGTAACCTACAATAATTTAAACATAACCGCAATTACATTTACAACTATAGTTTAGTTTGTTTTAGTCAATGCAACCAATTTTGGTTCCGTATTTCCAACGTTTCCGCAGTCCAGATTAAATTAATGAACTTTATGTTTGAAAAGAATCAAAAATATAAATAATTTAATTGTTTTGAGAAATAACATTTTATCTTATTTTGGACTTTACACTGAATGGTGTTTATTTTTTAGAATGAAAATATATGTGTCATTCCACCTAATACAATTTTTTGGGGGTGACGTGTTCCAAATCGAATAAATTCGTCTAATAAATCGAACTAACTGTTGTCTTTATTATGGGTCGGATGATTTTACAAGGTCTTAACTACTTTATGACATCTTTTTTCTTTTATAATTTTTTTTTTTTTTCAACAACTATCAAAAACATATTAATTATTTTTAAAAAACAAAAACCAAAATTAACAATAACTTTTTCGTATTCCCTCTGTATGTTGCAACATACTCCCACCTAAGCAGATCAAAACTGCTAAGGATATCTGCTTAAACTTAGGCAACCAAAAAACAGAATACGAAACTTATACACATAAAGAAATACAACAGTAAAATTTCTATGTATTACAAAAATCTTTTCGGCACACGAGTTACCCTTCCGTAACGTGTTACTACACCTTTACACTCGGGTGCTCTGCTTTTAGTTTTCACTACCGCACTGTCACTGTTATCTTCTTCGTGTTCTGGGTTTTCTTTTATTTCTACAACAGGCAACTGCACCTCATCTTCTAATGCATTCTTTTCGGCTGACTCTTCATCGGCACTGTTCGAAACCGTCTTGGATACTGTTCGCTTCAGGATCAGCAGATCTCTGGGCAACATTTTTACTACTTCCAAAGGATATAAACGTTGTATTGGACGCAACAGTTGACCTTTGCTAGTAGCCACACGTACCAAACGAACTTCTTGGTCCTTACCAGGGATTATCTCTATAATTCGACCCAAAGGCCAAGCAATACGTTTATCACAATCGTTGCCTATAAGAACAACTTCACCAACGCGTACCGAACGTTTAGTTATATTGTTTGTTATTATCTTTAATTGTCCAAGATATTCGTTTCGAAACCGGTTGCGTAAGTTCTCGCGAAGTTTTTGTAAATATTTAATTCGCCGATTAAGCGACGACCCGTCTTTCGCGTCACAGTCAGGAACACCTTCCTGTACCAACTCTCGTGTGAACATAGCTGGTGTCAGAGGCACTAAATCCTTCGGATCACTCGAAACATAAGTCAATGGTCGAGCGTTCATGACAGCTTCACAGTCGCAAAGGAGGGTGTTTAATTCCTCTAAATTTACTCGAGCTTTTCCTAATACCTTTCGTAAAAGTTGCTTTAACATACCAATTAACCGTTCCCAAAATCCACCCCACCAAGCGGCACTAGGTGGGTTAAACTTCCACACGATTCTTTGCGCAGTGGTATAATGTAGTATAGTCGACCAGTCTAAGTTTCTGAATGCATTTTCTGCTCCCGTGAAATTTGTGCCGTTATCACTATAAATTGTTCGCGGACGGCCGCGCCGTGCCACAAAACGTCGTAATGCCTGGATAAAGTGTTGGGTCGACAGTGAAGTAACAACTTCCAAATGTACCGCTCGGTAAACCGCGCACGTAAATAAGCAAATCCAGGCCTTACTACCTTCCCTAAGAAACAAGGGACCAGCTAAATCCACGCCGGTAATTTCGTAAGTCACTGCATCCCTTACCCGATCATTCGGAAGAGAAGGAACAACTGCTTCAAACCTTTTACTTTCAAACCGACGACACACAATGCATTGATTTACGACTGTCTTTATTGATCTTCTACCGCCCAAAACCCAATATTTTTCTCTCAAAGAACTCATCAGTGCTTGTACTCCCGAATGGCAGGTATCTTTATGCAACTGGAAAATTAATCGTCCTACAATTTCATGTTTTGGGGGCAGTACAATCGGAAATCTGAATTCGTCACTATCTTTTCTATTACAAATTTTTGTCTTTATTCGAATCAGACCGTACTCATCTTTGAAAATAGGCAACGTACTTAATCGCTTGTCTTTATCACCATCAAATGCTTCATCTTGTATTGATTTCAAAACAAACCTTTCCGCCTTCTCTTGTTCTTCCGCAGTTATTTCACCAGTGCGCTTCTGTTCATGATTTCTAACATTAAAAACAAGTCTCACAATCCATGCCATCATTCGTATGGTCTTTGAATATTGCGAAAAATAATATAAATGGAACTCATCAGTCCTCGCATCGTTAAGCATTGAAACAACTAATTTCCTTTTACGTTCGCACAAAATCTCTCCCTCGTTGTTCTCAGCTTCTCCTTGAGGATATCTTAGCGGTTCTTCCTTCAACCAATCTGGTCCCTCCCACCAATGGGACTCCAACAAAACTTTTGGAGAACAACCTCTAGAGGGTAGATCAGCGGGATTTTGACTCCCAGGCACATGATTCCAATTATCCACATTAGTCATTTGCCGAATTTCGTTAACTCGATTGGTTACAAACACTGTCCACTCCTCTTTTCTTTTAATCCACGCCAACACAGTAGTGGAATCACTCCAAAAATAACAATTCTTGTTACCTTCAAAATTTTCTAGGATACTCTGGCATAATCTTGCCCCAATAGTAGCAGCAAGTAATTCTAAGCGAGGTATAGTAAGTTTTTTAAGTGGTGCTACCCTGGATTTGGCAGCAGTTAAATGTACTATAACTTGGCCGTCCTGCACTACACGAAGATAAATCACCGCGGAATAAGCATTCTTACTAGCGTCACAGAATACATGGAGACTCAATGCCTGATTAAGTTGTGGATCCAAACCAATCCAACGTGGTATCTGAACCTTTTGTAATAATGGTAACTCTTTCAACCATTGCGAAAATTCTCTAACCGTATTGTCATCCACTTCTTCGTCCCAATTAACCCCTTTTTCCCATAAAGTTTGCAACAAAAGTTTAGGTTTCAATGTAACCGGACAAATTACACCAATTGGATCAAATAATCGCTGCGTCACCGATAAAATAAATCTCTTTGTTATTTTTATTTCCTTATCTTCAATGTCTTTAACATTTTCGGTGTTTACAGTCAATAAATCCTCTTCCGGAAACCACTTCAAACCCAAAACCGAAACCACTGTAGAGCTGTTTTCCAGTCCGCCAGTTGACTCCCACCCTCGTAAATCAAACTGGGCTTCACTCATTACATGTTTTGCTTCCTGAATAAACTTAGTAAGAGATTGTTTATCATGTAAACTTGCCACGCAATTATCTACGTAAAAGCTTTTATCCAGCCTCTCAACAGTATCGCTAGAATAATTCAAAATTTCGCTTTTACATTTTTCCAAACAAGTTTTTAGATGTAAGTTAATTGTTGCTCCCAGCAAAAACGGACTACTACTCACACCGAAAACCACTCTTCTGTGTCTAAAAACTCTCTGATTTCCTTGTAAATCTACCCAAAGAAATTTTAAAAAATTCCTGTCTGATTCGCAGACACTAATCTGTAAAAAGGCCTTTCTTATGTCTGAAATAACACCGATTTTACCTTCTCTAAACCGTAAAATGATAGAAGGAATGAGTTTCACAAGATTGGCTCCTTTTTCTAAACATTGGTTTAACGAAGATTTATTTTCTTTATGTGCAGACGCATCGAAAACAGGTCGAACTCTCGTTGTCGAATTTTCTTTTACTACAGCTCTATGTGGCAAATAATGCCCTTGTTTATCGTCATCTTTCAACTCTTCAATAATGCCCTCTTTTAACCATTCTTCCAGTACTTTATTGTAGGTATCGAAAAGTTGCTTTTGTTCCAGCTTCTTGCAAACAACTTGTAATCTCTTTTCCGCAATTTCGTAATTGGTAGGAAGTGGAGGATGATCTTCAATCCATGGTAACCTTACGACATATCTACCTTCGCTGTCTCTCTCAGTCGTATCATTAAAAAACTGTTGTGCTGCTTCCGTCATTTCCTCTCTACTTTTCTTTTCGATTGGATCCTTGATCCCCAGTACATCTAATTCCCATAATTCACTTATAGCCAAATCTCTAACTAGACATGACAAAGTTGCATTAAAAGTAGGT